GTTTGATGGATTTAATGGAATGAAATTCTCTGCTATGTTGGAAAGTAGGCACATAATGGGTCACTAAATTTGATGGTTATTACTTTGCAGTTCTTTCTAGCTTCATCATACAGACTTAAGGATTAGAAGGAAAATAAGTGGCATTCTTCTCTGAATGTATTTGATCACACTAAAAGGTGTGAAAAGGCACCAGCTAACCATGTCTGTATGTAACAGCTCGAAAACTGCTGAAATCCAATATGTTTTTTTTTTTTTTTTTTTTATAAAATTTGATATTTGGGAGTTCTACTAAAATTTCTTCTGCCTATTCCAGTCTTCGTTAAAATTAGACTAACATAGTGGACACTTTGCACGAAGATTTTCATGTGATCCTGTGCACACATCAAGCATAGATCATTAAATATTTGTCAGAGCAAAGAATGTTTCCAACAGGCGTTGCAGAGAAAAATGGAAAACATTTTATGTTCAGTACACCTTTTCCATAATTGTTACTGATTGTGAGATGAGTTAAATAAACAGAAGGCAGCAAATGCACCAGAATGGTTACACTTGCACAATTTCCTGTGGTAAATTCCATTATGTGGACAAATGTTATGTTACCCTACTGCATTACAAGGAAGGACGGAGGTGTGGGTGTTGTGAATGAGGTTAAGTGTTGGTTTGGTTCCAGTATATACAAAATGTGCCAGACTAATATAAGTTCTACACCAGAAAGAAGTTCCGCACATGTGAATGGGTATAATCTAAATCAAGCACCTGGAGTAAGAACACAGAATTCAGACGTTTATTGTACATCAAAAGTATAAACAGACTTACTTATATTCTGCCAGTAGGTTGATAATGTAAAATATTAATATGTCTAATATAATTATAGATTTACTTATCCAGTTTCATAGTTCAGTATGTTAAATTTAAATACCATGTTATGACAGTCCAAATTACGTGGAAATTGTTTTAACTTTGAAGCCAAGAAACGGATAAGTGACAAAAATAAACTCATGTAGTAGGTCCCACATGTAAATTCTGTAAATTATTGATATTGCAGCATTTAGAAAAATATTATGTGAAATGAACATAAGGCTGATACATGATTTGAGATGCACTGGAAAAGGAGGGGAGCCCTGATAAACTCTGTGTAGTAATTGATCTATCTCACTCACCCACAAAATTTAATGTGCAAACAAGAGTAATGAACATTATAAGCATTTATAATGGAACATCACAGAAGCATGGTCTCTTCTTGGTGATATTATAGTTGTTGCATCATGAGATACATGTGGAGTTCTAGCTAGTAAAAGTCATAAAAGGTGAAGTTGTATGGAAAGAGTTCTTTGTACAATCATTTGTACCTCCAGAAGAGCATGAAGAAGTGGGGCAGAAACGTAGAACAAAAAGGAGAAATCTCAAGAGAAATAGGAAACATGATGAAAGCCAGTAGAAGCAGGCAACAGTTTTCTGCCTGTTTCTTGCTTGGCTTACTCTTCAAACCTGAAGATGGAAGTGACATGTTCCTCCAAAACATTGGATGACTTCCAACAGACTGCATGGTGTTACATCTCAAAAGAGGGATGCCCCCAGTTAGGACAATTTGAAAAGTATAATCAGTCAGTTTAGACTTGTGTACATTAATAACATACTGGAAATTCCAGGCTTCAGAAAATACTGATGTTCACTGTCAAACTGTCTATTAAAAATGTTACAAAAGAGCTCCTCTGTAGTGTATATTCAACTGTGCACATTCTGAACTTTCTTAATTCTCACTGCTATGAGACTAGCACTGTGCTAATTTCATGGTGTTTATGGTAGCATTCAGAAGTCATGCATGGCCTATAGGTGTGTAGCTGAAGTCTAAGTTGCACTGTTATCAGCAGCAAACTGAATGTGATTCTCAGTTCTTTTTATTAGCTGAGTTATTTGTCAGAAGTATGTGATTCAGTGTTTATTATTCACAACAAACTTTTCATACTGCACAGAAATCTCTTGAGCAGCAGTCAGTCATGAATTTAATTTTTAGAGTACCGGGTTAAATAAGTTCGTATAGATGCCAACACCCAAATGCAGTGCAATCCTGATTCAGTGTTACTGTACTTAGTGAATATTTTTTTCTGATCCCAGCTGAAGCCCAATATAAACAATGTATTATTTTCTCATATTTAGTACTCCAAAACTTGGACCTCAATTTAGTGCAACTGTGGTCAAAAATGCCAATCAGTATTCATTCACATCTTCTCTCTGCCAGAAACTGTTACCCTATAATCATAATGTTTTATCTTATGAGTGATATCACATACTGAAAATATGCACCAGAACCCTGGACCTTGTGCCATCACAATTGCTTTGATTCTTTCAATGTTTATTTCCTGTAATTAATTATTTTACATTGGTTAAATAATTGCATTTATTTGTGTAGGAGCAGTTTCTTTAACTGCTTATGTAAATAAATTATTTTATCATAATTGTATACAGTGAGTCTTATGAGAAGATTAACATTTTCTTGATGTAATTTTACATAATACCTGTTTGCTTAAATGTAAGAAAAGTCATTCAATTAAGACAGTCATTTCAAGCTACATAAACAGAGATGTTTTAACATTACTCGTGCTTTGTATGTCCCTTTATGCTTTCAGAATGTGGTGCTAGGCTCAGGGATACGTCTGTTTTTACCTGACACCCTCATTGTTCAGTATTTTTGCACAACCATCCTTATGATAATAAAAAACTTAGAAATCTGCATGACAGTGTCCATGGAAATAAAACGTTATGCTACCATAAACTATATGTGTGTTAGGCTTGTCTAGTAGGATAGGATTTTACTGTGTGGGTGAATTTAATATTTACAAGTTCTTCAGAACATTAAGAAATGTGTTGGTCCATGTCAGTTTTTTTTTCATCTTCTGAATCTCCTAATGGATTTTTATCAAATATGGTGTATACTTCCTGAAAATTACTGGGTATGTCATAATACTTGAAATATTATATTTATCTTGTTACATAACCATCACAAGGAAAACTGTTTCAGTTAAGAGATGGATGTTTTGCTATTTTTTATATGAACAGCTATTTACAAGAAATTTAAAACCGCATGATGTGAACATTAGGAGTGTTTATATGCACACTATTACGTGGTTATTTAACAGGATAAAGGTTTTATAGACAAAATTCAGTTCAGTCACTGTCCACTGTAAAATACACACTCGCCACTCACTCACTTCTCACCGTCACCACTATCACTCTCACTGCCACTGGCACTACTGCTACCATGTCCACTGCCACTGCCACTCCTATTGGGACTTGCTGAGTGAGACTGAGAATGTGATCGGGACCGGGACCGGGATCTGGATCTGGACTGGGATGGTGATCGAGACTTCTGACTGGACGGGGATGAACTGCGGGAACCAGAACTCTTTGACTGGGCTTGTTCATCCTCACTATCACTTCCACCTGCAATAAAGAGCAGCAAAATAAGAATTATTACACATAAAGATGGATACAGTATTCAGCAGTCACAAGCCTCTTCATCTCTGGATGCATACACATACACTGAGTCCACTGCTGCAAAACAGACTTCACTCACACTTGCAAAGAATTCAGCGTGGCCATTATATAAGTGCCATCTAATGCAAAGTTGTCATGTGTATATGATCCAATTATAATGATGAAAGAAAATATTTACAAAAATAAACAACTCTGCCCTTAAAACTCTTAGTAGAAATAAAAACATATCCTATGATATGAAGTTACTCTCATCAGCATCCTGAAGATCTTATGTTAAGGACTGATTAAATTACAGTGTCTGAATCTGCAAATATTTACTAAACAGTTTAAATAAAACTTGAGATTTGAGATTCTCCAGGTCAATATCAAGATTTTGGTTGTCTGGGACGTGACACCGTGCAGTTTGAAAGAAAAGTTCCTCTGAAATGACTGTACATGCTTTGCCAAACTATACAGTAACACATACCTGAAGACATTACCTTAATTTCAATAAAAAGAATTCTGCTTCTATTAAAATTGCACATACCACACCACCATACAGTGTCCTATCACATGATGGTACCAATGGAATCAATACATGAAAAGTTTCCATTATCTTAGTATCCCTTACTGGTAATAGGCTATAATTTGAGCCCATGTTACAGTTTAGGTCTAGAATTTAATGAAACGTTAATAGTATTTCTGAAATATAGCAGAATAAAACAAACCTCCATCACTGCCTTCCTTAGCACTAGCCTCACTCTTCTCAGCTTCCTCTTCCTGGTCACTGTCTGCCTTCTCACTGCCACTCCTCTGCTCTCCTTCTCTGTCTCCCTCAGCATCAGCACCACCATCAGCATTGGCTTCAGCCTCCTCATCCTTCTCTTCATCTGAAGTAGGCCACAGTGAAAGAGTCTTACTTTCAGGATGTATCCTGACATCTTCAATTAGTGAGTAGTATAAAATACTATGGTTATGTCATTTTCCTCTCTCTCTAGAACGTTATATTGAAAATAATCTGTCCCATCTCTTTTCAACAATAGGCAATGAAGTGTATTACAGTCATACAGCTGACATAAGTGTTCATATATCTGAGTACACTGTGTTCTGCAAAACCCATACATTACACATCAGAATTTCTCGAATGCTGAATTTTACTATGAATGTACTTGTAGATTTAACAAGACATTTTTTATCCAAATACAAACCAGAATGTAATGTTCTAGTTCTGGCTCAAGGACATGAGAAGAAAGACTTTTCAAATGCTTTTTTGATTTTCTGAGTGCTTGGGAAGAAGGTTTTCATTTAAATCATCTAAAATCTAAGTGGTCAGCATTCCCTCTTTAAAGGAGAATATTCTCTATACTGCACAGGGCAAAACAGCATACCAGTGCATGATTAGCAGATCCTGATTTCTCCTTTCTACAGTGAGACAATGCTCCAATAAAGAGAATAATTTAAAGAACCATCACTCAAAAACAAAATGTAATATCTTAATTACTAACTTTACTAAATTTTGTTTCATGTTGTGTTGTTATGATTTATCAGGTTGTGTTCATCATGGTTCAATGTTAATCGCAGGTTTTATCACTATGCATTTTGTGTTTTCACTGAAATTAAACTACTATTTAAGTAGCTGACCATTGTAACAATCACTTCACATGTCAGATCCTTTACTGAACAACACAGATTTGGTAGAATCATGTATTATCTTGATCTCCTGTACTGGATTTTTGTAACAATATTGCCCCTCATTTTTGCTGCAATTAAGCATTCTTATCTCTGTTTCCAGAAGTCTTAGAATTTGCACAGACATTTAAATCTAGTATACCACTTCAATTTTTATGGCAGTTCTCGTTGTGTTCTGCCATCATCTGTGTATTTTAGTTCTAGGTTTGGGTTCATTCAGTATCCTTTGTGAAGCAGCTGCCATCTAAGAATGGTTAAATCGACAGATCATATTGACAGGATAAGCAGGCTTGGTGGTAGCAGTACCTTAAAATCGGTCAGAATTTGTCATTTATAATTCTTCATTCATAATTTCCCCAACACTCAAATTTTGTCTCCACAGTCCTCATAGCATACATGTTAGNAAAGAATCAGATGTAATTTACAGATTTTAAAATCTATAAAAATTGTTACACTGATTCCAAAAAGATTTTTTTTTCTCCCAATTTCGAGCGTCTGTCCACAAATATGTATACAGTTTCTGCACAGAACGTTTTTGAGGTATAAATGCATGCTGCTGACATCCTGTCTTACTATGTCTTATCTGGAAAAAGGAGTGGAAGTTTATGTTTGTATAGCACATTCTCCAGTCACTTCGGAACCTTTCTATATACACGAGTGTGGGCGAAGTCTTATCCTACTTTGTCCTTCAGAAACTCTGACTGTATATATCTCAGACTAGCCACACAGAGGCACTGTTCCTGGAATAGCCCCGCATTGCCAGAACGTTCAAGCCTAGCGCGTTGTGTTCGTAATGCTTATAAAACATCACTACTTCAACCTCGCCCTCAACGGTTCATGGGTCGACCTGCTGTGTCATCGTCGATATCTCGATTAGAGGAGGCCACTCGACATCACTGGCTGACTTCCTCTAATACGAGACAGGTGTCGTGTGCGCTCTTCGCGTGGGAAATGGAGTTACATCCAGACAAAGTGCATGAATTGCGATGTCGGACTCTGCATTTCCGGATGTTTCCAACAGTACCACACGAAGGCAACATTCAGTTAGATGACGCAGGAGGGAAGACTGTCTACTTATAAAGCTGGTGCCCAAAAATAATGTAAGTAGAACAAGAATTTCTATCTTAAAATTAGATTTTAAAACACTGTGCGCACACGTGGACTGCGCGTACCCATACGGTGTCACTAGGCTCTTATAGGTTAAGTGCCAAGCTGTAGCCTCAGACTAGTTCCAGACTGACCTGACTTATTAGCATCATCTTGTTCATTGGTGACTGCAGTTTCTTGGTCACCAGCATCCTCCTGAGTTTGTTCCTCTTCTTCCTCATCCTCCTCTTCTTCCTCTCCTGGTGGTTCCAGCTGACGTTCTCTGTACCGCTGCATGCGGAATTCCTGTGCATTGAGTGGTTTATGTTTCACTACAAGACGTGTGTTGTTTGGTGGTTGACCAATCTTCTGCCTGCGCTTACTCAGACGTACCCTGTGATCAAGTAATTCAGTAAAGCACAAATTAAACAGTAATGCTCACATCAACAGCATAAGGGATGATTATAAAAAACAACTGGTTCCACAAGTATGCAACTCAAGATTATGCTGATTGAAAAATGTGAACACTTTGAAGATGAATGCCAACTTGTAAAACCTGTTTTTAAACTCTGACAATGCACAGTGAAACTGGCATGGCAGGCATGTGAAAAAGGAAACAAGAAAATAGAGTGCATCATAAAACCAAAGCCTGTCCTTGATTACACACACACACACAAAAGGGATTGTGCTGATTTCATAGATCAATAAGTAATCAATTAGCGCTGATGTCATTAATGAACTGTTGGATGGTGGGCTGACTGTTGAATTGGGAAGGATCTGAAAGGAAGTGGAAATAGCCTAAACAAGGTACAATCTCAATATTTGCCTGGAGGGACTGAGGAAAATGACACCTCAGTCAAGACAGCCAGTAGCCTGGCCAAGATTTGAGCTGGGTAGCTCCTTAATATTAGTACAGCATTACCTCTAGATCAGCCTGTTCAATATTTGGACTTCAACAAGAAAGCACTTATACAGGTTATAATATCTAGAAATGCCATAAGATACAGAGTTACAATTTGCAGGATAGAGATTTTGGTGTACATGCATACCTAGTTTCCAGCTCATTGTAATATACTCCATCTTGCCGTATGACCAAGAAGTAGTTTTCTTCGTAGCCTTTTGATGCCTTGCTCTTCACGTTCCAGTTGTATTCTCGAGCCATCTTGTATTCATATTCCTCCTCATCCTCATATTCCACCGAGTTGTTAAAATCTCTGCGACGTTTCTCTAGTGTTTCCTCAGTAGGCAGGAAATATGCCACAAACTGCTCGCCACTCTCATCCATCACACCCCTGTACAAACAAGCAAAGTAAAGTAAGTAAAGCTATCCCTGTAACAGGCCATGGAGGCCCATAGGGATGTGAGACTTTGAGGCTCCCACATTTTCTTGGCAATCACCTCAAAGATAGAGGTATGGTTGTTAGCCTTACGCGCCGGCCACCCTTTTCCCCCAAGAATATTCCTGGTACTCATTTCTGTTAGAGGCTAAGTCGACCCCAGTGCCACAGTGTGGCTGGAGGGATTAGGTCAATTGAAAAAATCTGCCTCATCGGGATTCGATCCCTAGACCTTCTGGCTTGTAGCATAGAGCCTCAACCAACTATGCTACTGCGTGCCCCTGTACAAATAAGCAGAATAATTAAAAGTACTTCTTCATATTTCAAATTAAGACTGAACAAACAAATAACATACTATCATTTCCATTACAGAAAACTGAGGCTCGTGTAACAAATGATCAGTTAAGTTGCTTCTCAGTGTATGAAGTTACAGAACATTATCATTCCAACTACTTACTCAGTAAGATAAAACAAAGAAACCATATTCATTCATGCATATTTTCTCTTTCTGTACATGAATATTTCATTATGAAGAATGAAAGCGAAATTTCCATTTAATGTCTCTCTGGGGGGCACTCATTCATGGAGCTGAGCCCTTCTTGAGGAGCTGCCAATTCTGCAGCTACTCAAGAACGTCCCAGCATTTTATGGAACCCGAAGGTTCATTACCCTGTTCAAAAGAGCCCTCCAGCGGTCCCTATCCTGTGCCAGATCATTCCAATCCATATCATCCCATCCTATATCTCTGAGATCCATTTTAATATTGTTCACCCACCTACACCTTGGTCTTCCTAGTGGTCTCCTTACTTCTGGCTTTCCCATCAATATCCTAAATGCATTTCTCCTCTCCCCCATTCATGCTACATGCCCTGCCCATCTTATCCTCCTTGACTTTATCTGAGGCTTTTTGAACATTTTCGTAACAAGCTTATTTTTTATGGTGACGAGTTGTTAGCCCCACATCTCTGGGGGACAATGAATTCAAATATTAATCTGAGGAAAACTTCATACAGAGAAAATTAAACAATCAGATAACTGGGGTGGGAATGGAAATGTGCATGTATAATGAAGGAAAATATATTGAGAAACATTAAAATGAGATTCTGACATATATGGCTATAATGAACTCACTCCTATATTCATTGAACCTCACTCAAATTTTTATCATCTTTCATAATAATAAATGAGTGTGCACCACATCCTTGTGAATCACTACAAATGAGGTCATTCAGATGTTGCAAAATGACACAATGGCCCATTATCTATTGTGATGTTATTTCTTCCTTAAGAGAATGAAATATCCTAGTATCCCCAGTCAAATGCTTAATCAAGAGTTACCTCGATTGGGCTCCCATGTGTTTCCACATACCTGATCATAGCCTGAGACATCTCTTCAATCTGTGCAGGAACAGATCGACCTGCAGGAGCTGGATCTGAGTCAAATATAACCTGTGCACATGGGTACTTCCAAACCTGAAACGAAACCAGAACGTATGAACGTTTGAACACATGGTGGATAAATACAATTTTCTTTTTCAAAATATTCCATTGAATACTCACCAAACTTGAATTAATTCACACATAAATTAAAGTGATTTAAATTTAATTTCATATAAATATCTTTGAGACCAGTGACCAAGCCTGAACAAGCAGTATTGGCTCATAGTAACACAACACATATATGGTATTAACTGATTATATTTTTTATTAATTTTAGAACCATATATTTCATATTAGGAACAAATCTGGTTCACTATGAGCACTACATCAGAAGTTCAAATACAAAGTTAACTTAAGGTAAGGTAAAGCTGTCCCTGTGCTGAATTAATTAAACACCATGCCATGAAGGCATTTGGAGGAGTGGATGTACAGATCTATGTTCCCTTGACCTTGGCACCAGTTGGTCAGTGGTCAGCTTCATACACTGGCTGCTTTACCCCCCCCCCAGAAAGAGCAATGGGTATCCACCAGAGAGGAGGATGGGTGGGCTCCAGAACCTGTCTGGATGATGTGGAGAACAGAAAATTCTTGACCCTACTGGGACTTAAACTCCGACCCCTCCATTGTCCAGCCCATAGCCAGTCACTATACTGACTGTGTTATCCTGGCTCTGTCAAAGTTAACTAGGACTAATGTCACTGAGAAGACTCAATTACGGGCATGTTATTGACCAAATGCAGACTATATGAAATGTTCCTGCAGTCTGTTCTCATATATGATAGCAATGCTTGGCACTGATTAGAGAAGAATCTTGAAAGAAGATATTTTAAGAAAAATTATGATCCAGTTAATAAATATGGATTATGATGAATCAGATAGTTATGAATTATGTCAGCTGCATGATGGGCCAGGTATAGCTGAAACAGCAAAAGCTGGAAAATTGACGTGCGTGACACACCTCTACAGAACAGATGAAATGCACTAAAGTAGAATATTAATTTTACCGACCAGAATGTACTAGCATAACAGGAAAACTGAGTACAATGTAACTAGACATAATCAAATGGGAGTATTATTCTTAGAACTCATGAGTGGATGGAAAAAGCACTGCATAGGAACCACCAGAGAAACACCGCTGAGATCAAGGCCTGCACTAGGCTGTAGTACCACATATGAAGAATCCAAATGACTTCATTTAAATTTGTAATCCATCGTTTGGTTTTGTGATAGTGGGTCAAAATAACTTATATGCCTTACATATTACAAACCTGTCATCAAATGTTTCAGATAATAAACAGAAGAAGACAAATGGAGTAGCAAAGGTACTATATGTTTGCATAACTAATGATACAAAAACGTTTGTCAAAATGAAAAGTAAGCTACTTTCTCAAAGCACATTTTCTCAGATTTAGTGACTGAAATAATCTGTAAGTTCCGTCATTTGAGGCTCAAAAGAAGTGGTCATTCCTCCAAGATCAGCAGTCTGGTGCTACTGTTTTTAAGAGTACAGAGTAAGGAAAAATCATGAAGATTAAGCTTATAGTTTGGTTTGAATCCTCATTTAAGCTAACGAAAGATTACTCAAATGCCTTCAATTAAAGGATCCCAGTTAGAAGAGTGAGAATTATAATTAAGCTTTCATGAAAGAATACCTTGAAGTCAGGATACACAGGCAGAACCTCCACTGGCACAACATTTGGTTTACTATAATGCTTGTCAATTGGCTTTTTGGAATCTTCAAATGTTTTCTCGATGGCTTTAATCTGGCTGTCACGATCCATGTACAGTGTTTCATCCTGCAACATACAAAACAATTTCCTGTAATGAAAGTGGTTATAGAGGTTAAACCTTCAGTGTGGGGTAACTTTTTCTCCCAGTGCAGGAGGCACCATGTTCAGTCCTACCATCAAATTATGCCGTGCACCAAGAGAACTCTTTTTATTTTTTAAGAACTCTGATTAAATTGCTGATCAACATTTAAATCCATAGCACTGGCTTTCATCCATTCTATGATATAAGTTTTGTTCATGAGAGTAGGAATAAAAGAGGTGTGACGGGGCTGCATTGCACATCCCTTGAGGGTTAGAACTATAAATTTAACATCCTTTAATTAGTGTTGCATTATTAACTGATTGTTCAATAACTGTTTTGTTTCATCATGTAATCTTAAGACATACAGCCTGCTGGTATTAATTTTGCAGTCTCAGAATATAAAATTGAGCCTGATATATCATATCTGTTGATACTGGTATGTTAATGAATAGTACACTTCTCGCTGTCACTCATTACAATTCAAACTTTTTAAATCCAAGACTTCTCTTCAGAAAAACTGCATTATATTCTTCCTGTGTTGTCCAAGGGGGCAGTACCATGAACTTTTCCAACTTCATATTTCAAATGACATGCTAAGACATTACTTATTATTTTTCATGACAGATTATGATAGCAATTGTGGATGTAAGTTACAAGCCCTACATATACAAGTGAATTATAATTTCCTGTAACATGGTTCATTTAAATAAATAAATAAAGGCTTCAAAACTGAGTGCACCATAATGGCTATTCATATAGCTTGGCAATTATGTTTATATATTTCATATTTATGATTTAATGCTTCAATAGCTCAGATTATATAGTATCAAATGGTAGGATAATCAACAGGGAATGACATGGGTGTGACCTAACTTGAGATACTATCCCAGTATCTGTCTGAGAGAATTAAGAAAAATCACAAATGCCTGGGAGAGAATAGCCAGCATCTGGGTTGATATTCAAACCTGGGATCTTGTACATAGAAAGCAGGACTGCTACCCACTAGACTTGAATATTTAGTGTACTTTATTATCAAATATATGTATACAGAGGTGTTACAAAATGCAAGCTAAATTACTGAACCAGTATGTAAGAACTATGTCCAGTGAAGCATGCGATGGTGTGCATGAAATGATAAACAAATAAAAAACTGATTCTTCTGGTATGGAAATAACAAGTGAAGGGCGGTTTATTATATGAACTAAAAATAATGATGTATTAACTGAACACTCAGTTACCAACTGGTAACATTAACATGGTATTTACTCACTTTCAAGCTCTTCTTGATGCTGTAACCCACTTTAGCTTCAACCTTGTCCATAGTTTGAGGCTGAAAGCGTGTCTGCTCTGTTGAGATATACTCAGTTCTCCGCAGCCATGACACACTTCGTGCATGATGACGTGATCTAGGAAATAAAATATTCCAGCATTGTTTTAAAGGTTCAGACAAATCAGAATGAAATAACAATAATGTACATAACTTCCTTATGTTGTCCCTCAAACCAAGCTTAAGAAAACTGAAAGTTTTATTTGATCGGTTAGTGCTTCTGTTTTGTATTACGTATATTTGGTAGGTACCAGGTTCAAATCTTGACCCAGATACCAGCTACTGGCTTAGGTTTCTTGTAATTTCCCCCAATCCCTCCAGACAGGTGCTGCGATAATGTACACCTTAAATCAGGACATGGTCACCTCCTTCCACATCCTCTCCAATTCATTATTCACTATTTAATCCACTTCACAAAAGTTTCACACTGATCTTTCTGCAGAATGACAGATACACAAAACAGACCATAGGAATTGGTGAATTACCAACAAAACTCAGCAGAGGTAGCTGATTAACCCTTTAGAGCTCAGTGGTTCTATACGTTATACCTGCTTTCACATACTAAAACTCTGTATTCTGCCCACAGCATGCAGTTTTGTGATTCATAAGGTTTTCACAGTAGGCAGTATTTCCCCAAACAGCATTAAAGGTTAATCTCTGAATTTATATATATCATAAAAGTAAAAAGTAAGAAGTAAAGCTATCCCTGTACCAGGCCCTGAAGGCCCATAGAGTTGTGAGACGTTGAGGGTCCCACATTTTCTAGACAATCGGCTCAAATATGGCGTTAAGGCTGTCAGCCTTATGCGCCAGCCATGCTTTACTCCCCTGGAAAATTATTTAATTAATTCCTGGTACTCATTTCTGTCAGAGCATATAGAATAAATTCTTTCTTTAAGGGGTTAAACTCTTTATGTTCTGAGCATTCCCTGCATTTAAAAAAATCAGTTATGAAACAGATTATGAGGTCAAAGAAGAGCATATTCATTTTTTACATTTCTGATGTTCATAAAGCATTAAAACCAAAATCATCATTAATTTAACAAAAATTTTAAAATTACTACATTTAAAACAGGGGCACGTGGTAGTGTAGCTGGTTGAGGCACTATGCTACAAGCTGGAAGCTTGTGGGTTCAATTCCCAATGAGGTCACTGGATTTTTCAATTGATCCAATCCTTCCAGCTGCATTATGGCTCCAGGGTCAACTCAGCCTCTAATAGAAATGAGTACCAAGAATCTTCTTGGGTGTAAAAGACAGCCAAAGCTTAAGGCTGACAACCTTACTGCCATCTATGAGCCGATTTTCTAGAGAATGTTGGAGCCTTGACGTCTCATGGACCTATGGGCCTCCACAGTCTGTTACAGGGATAGCTTTACCTTCTTATCTTTTTATACATGAAACATGCAAGGTATATGAAATATTAGTTACCCCAGATGGTCACTTACACAGATATATTAAAGTGTAACATGTCATGGAAGTCCTAACTGATCAACATCCTATCTATGCAGCACTGAGTTGACTGGCTGTTTCTAAACCCTCTTAACTGTAGCCTGTATTGCCAACTCTGGGCATTTCAGAAGTTAACTAAAGAATAAGTATTGAACCTTTTTGAGTCCTGTGGTGTGAGAACATCTTCTTCCAAAAGTTTCTCGTCTGCAGGGTCCAACTGGACAATGTGATCAATGGAATAAGTCTCCCTGTTGATAAGATCAATAGTGACTCCAAGATCATGTTCTGTTAAAACTTCATATTTATAGTTGCGCTCCAATGATGTGGGGTTATACTGGATGAATCTGTAACACATTCAACAGTACAGTTTCATTTCAAAAACTATTTGTTAAAATATAGTAAAAATAACTTCATTTCATACCATTCTTTACCATAGGTAGATATCAATATTTCACAAAAAGCTTCTACTTCCATCTTTAGACTAGAATCTTTTACCCTTATGCTGGAGATCCCAGGATCCTCCGAAACGTTAGTAACTACCACAAGACTGCAGAGTATCACAACCCAATATAATACAATCACCACCCTGAAAACACCAAAGCTCACGAATTCAAAATACTAACCTTGTGGATTCAAAGGGGTACGTTACAAACTTTGGGTCGAAGGGTATATCTGGAAGCGTATTACAATATTTAACTCTACACACCAACTCAGATCTGAAAAAAAACAAAACAAATAAAATTAGCAAAATTTTCAATTACTATGGCCATCTTACAGCACGTTTGGAAAGGTTAGGTTGATTTCATCAGGTACCGTTTCTCTCCAGGTCTTGTCGGACGTTTGTCGGGGCTTAAAGTAGTTTGAATTGTTGGAGGCATTACTATAAAATACTAAAACACTTAGACTCCTTTCACAAACATTCACATCAAATGACTTTATTTAACTTCCACTCAGATCAATACTCCCACTTCTTCCGCCTATTATTGCACGTTAGCAACAGCACTGACAGGTTCACCAACGAAATGTAACTGGGTTAGCCTATGTGATCAACCACCTAATCTAACTTATCGTAAAAAAATAAATATATTTATTGCGAATTTTCATATACCTAATTTCCCGACACGTTTCGAACTTATCGTTATAAATAACCATCTGAATGACGTATATGATAATTTCATTTCGTCGTTTCTTTATTTGCAAATAGGTAAGGTTCGTAATAATCTTGACCATTTTTGTTTTGCCAATTTAACATATGACAGACATTTAAGGGAACGATTTTCATAACATTATTGAGTGTAATTTTAATTAGGAGCATTGGAGGAAAGGGTACTTTAGCATTCTTACCTTTAGGAAAACTAAATTATAACTAAATTTAGCAATTTTCATTTATATCAATATCTTCCAGTTGGTACCTCGTTAGTTGGGGTCGAGCAGACGAAAAGGAGAATGCGATTTCCCGCGTAATTGTATTCGGTGTTTGGTTGTCATCAACGTGATCGTGAAGTGCAAATTTTATATTTATCATTCACGATGTCTGTAAGTGTTAAAATGTAACAACTTATTAGTATAATAATTTTACAAGTGTGTAGGTGTTAAAATATACATGTTTAGTGTTTATCTACAGTATTTGCTTTACCGCAGTCCGCTCTTTGTCTTGTACACATAACTTAGCATTTAACTTAAAGACTTGTTAAAAATTTTAATAACTTTTGAACCAATTTTGAAACACATTACGTTAATAGATTTATTTATACTAAATAAAATTCCTGATATAATGTATAATTATTTTTATTTTTTGAGAGCAACCGCACATCTCTAGGATTTTGCGTATATTATTAATTTATATTCTCCATAAGGTGCATTCGCTATAATAATAATAATAATAATTATAATAATATAACAGTCTGTAAATTATGGATCCATATTAATACAATTCAAGAACTTTGTTTTTCTTGTAACTCGCCAGATAATTACCTAGAAAAGGTCGAAACATGTAGCTTACACCCTCGCATTGTAAGTAAACAATAGTGATACAGTAGTGTCTGTTTTGTCTTCATCTTGAAAGTACGTTTATGTTGTGTTGACGAACAGATTTACACAATTGTACACATTCCCATGTTCACAACCAAAACATATGTTTTGGTTCTTAGCTTCTACTAAGGCGACTTGTTTAAATATAAAGGGTAATATCACTCAGGACTACAAAAAATATAGTAAGATCGTTTAATAACTTTTTTTAGATATAAGCAATTCCACAAAGAAATGGACACACAATACTGTGGAAACAGATAAGAAGTTCATGGATTATTTATACACTTCATTTCCAAAACCATCTCAGAAATTGGTATTAAAAGCAACTAACAGCAATGAAATAGAAGAGATAATAAGATCTATAAAACTCAAAGCAGCTTGTGGATATGATGGAATTACTACCAAATTAATAAAAGCAAGTGCACCATATATATCATCACCATTAACTTACATATTTAATAAGTCATTGTCTACAGGAATATTCCCTGCTCGATTAAAATATTCTGAAATAATACCCATACACAAAAAAGGGGATAAAACCGACATGTCTAATTATAGACCTATATCTTTACTACCAATCTTTTCTAAAATATTTGAAAAAGTTATATATAAAAGAATGATTTTCCACTTAAATACACATAACCTGCTAACGCAGGAGCAATTCGGCTTTAGAAAAAACTCTTCAACTACATTAGCTACTTATAATCTAATGGAGAATATTTATAGGGCTTTAAACAACAAATATATAGCGGGTGGAATTTTTTGTGATCTGAGTAAGGCTTTTGACCGAGTAAATCATGATATATTGCTATCAAAAATGGACTTTTATGGAATTGAAGGAGCTGCTCAGAAACTTATAAGATCCTATTTGAGAGGAAGATACCAGAGAGTAATTTTGTATGAAAATGGGAGTAAATGTTGTTCTGAATGGAAAGAAATACAGTGTGGAGTGCCTCAGGGCTCTGTATTAGGCCCAGTGCTCTTTTTACTATATGTAAATGACTTACCAAAAATTATATCTGACCTATCCAAACCAATATTATTTGCAGATGATACAAGTATCCTTATCTTTGATAAGAATCCTGCAACATTTAAAATTAGAATAAATAAATTATTTGAGATGATAAATGAATGGTTTAGGAAAAATGAGCTAGTAATAAATTATGAAAAAACTTATTTTCTACAGTTTAGAACTAAAAACAGTAAAAACTTAAATGTTCAAGTTAGTTATTTAAACAATCAAATTCCAAGTATTTCTAATATATCGTTTCTGGGATTAAAAATTGAAAATTTTTTAACGTGGGAAAGTCATATTGATGCAGTAATTGATAAGTTAAACAGATCCTGTTTTGCAATCCGATCAGTTAAATCCTTTTTACCACTGGAGACATTAAAAATGATGTATTTTTCCTATGTACATTCTATAATAACGTATGGATTAATATTCTGGGGTAACTCCCCGCATAGTATAAAAGTGTTTAGGATGCAGAAAAGGATAATTAGGGTTATAACAAATACAACAAAGAGAACATCGTGTCGTAGTTTGTTTCAAGAATTGGATATCCTCCCCCTACAAGCTCAATATATATTGTCGATCTCTCTGTTTGTCATAGTAAATAAGGAATTGTTCACATTCAACTCACAAATGCATAATTGTAGTACCAGATCTATCTGTGATCTGCATTATCCGCAAACTAGTCTGACACAATTCCAAAAAGGAATATGTTACATGGGGGTAAAGATCTTTAATCATTTGCCACCAAAAATCAAATCTATGTCTAATGACTTGAAAAATTTTAAAATTCAGTTGACAACATTTTTATTGCAAAACTCTTTTTATACATGTGATGAATTCTTTAGTAACAAATTTGCCTAGAAATAAGGATAATAGCATAAACAATTTTAATATTGCATAATTTTATGTATAGTGATGTAAGACTGTTTTTTTGATATAAATTTAACACATGTTTTTTTATCTATTTTAATGATTATAAACTGTACATATATATTTATATTTGTATTGTACTATATTAACTATGTGACTGGTTCTATATCTATGTATATGGATTTATGGAATATACAATAAATAAATGAATGAATGTATTAACAATGGTAAAGTCCCTGTGCTTAACTCATGAAGCACTATGCCATTAAGGCATATGTGTAATGGATCTATAGATCCACATTTTCTTGACCTAGGCACTACCTGGATGTGAGTGGTCAGCTTCACGCCCCGACCGCTTTACCCCTGGGGAAAGATCCCTGGCACCCATTGGATAGGAGGTTGGGTGAACCCCAGGAAGTTCTTGACTCTACAAGGACTCTAACTCCGACCCCTCAGTTGTCGAGCCTGTAGCTAGTTGCTCTACCGACTACGCTATTCTGGCTCCTATGTATTAACAGTGGGTGATATTTAGTTGTTTACATTTCATTATAGAGTGAACCACGCTCTCCAATGTCGGAACGGGGTAATCGCCCTGAAGCTGTGACATCTCCAGCTCCAGATATGGAACCATTTGAAGATGAGAGTGAGATTTTTGGAGGAGATGCTGAAATTGCTGGAAGGCATGCTGACGAGGAAGAAGATGGAGAAGAACTTTTTGGAGATAATATGGAAGCGTAAGATTATTTGCTAATGAATTATTTTACCTGTTTGAATTGTATTTATTTTTTTTATTTCCCCATGACATTTTTTATTTAAATGCAGCAGTTGTGAGGTGGGCTTTCTTTTGGTTTGAATTTTTTAAGTATGGAAAGGCTACAGGAGATGATGATGTATCTGGAGATGTGCTTAAGTTACTGGGAGAAGGTGGTTTGAAAACACTGACAAAACTAATAAACACCATATATGAAACTGGGGATTGGCCCAAGGAGTTTACAGAAGTGACAATGATTGCCTTAAAGAAAAAGACAGAAGCTACAAAATGCAGCGACCATCTCACAGTAAGCCTTATGGCACATACAGCAAAGATAATAGCAAAGATACTTAAAAGAAGAATTTAAAGGAAAATAGAGGATATATTTGGAGAGGATCAGTTTGGATTTAGAAGAGGAAAAGGAACCAGGGATGCAATTGGGATGATGAGAATTATAGCAGAACGAACTTTGGAGATAGATGAAGAACTGTGTGCTTGCTTTATAGACTGGCAGAAGGCATTTGACCATGTAAATTGGACCAAATTAATGCAGATCCTAAAGGAAACAGGTATCGATTGGCGTGAAAGAAGATTGATTAGTAAATTGTACATGGATCAGAAAGTTAGAGTGCGACTGGACAGAGGGGAGACAAGAAGTGTGAAGATTGGAAGAGGAGTTCGACAAGGATGCTGTTTATCACCAATTTTGTTCAACTTGTACAGCGAATGCCTTACCAAAGAAGCTCTGGATGGGCTTGGAGACTTCAAATTAGGAGGGCAAATTATTCAAACTGTGAAATATGCAGATGACCTTGTGTTAATGGCTAAGGAAGAAACTGTGCTACGGGGTATGATTGATAGACTAATCGAAATTGGAAGGTGCTATGGCATGGAAATGAATGTGGAAAAAACAAAAGTAATGAAAATTTCGAGACAACCAACCCCAGTCACAATAAAGATAGACCAAAAACAACTGGAGAATGTGAAATGTTTTAAATATTTGGGTAGCTTGTTAACAGATGATGGAAGGTGTATGTGTGAAATTAAATATAGGATTGCCATGGCAAAAGCTGCATTTTGCAAGAATAAGAATCTTTTTACCAGCAAATTGGACTTAAATTTGAGAAACCAGTGAAATGCTACATTTGGAGCATGGCTTTGTATGGGGCTGAAACTTGGACGCTTAGGGCAGTAGATCAGAAACACCTGGAAAGCTTCAAAATGTGGTGTTGGAGAAGGCTGGAGAAGATCAGTTGGACTGATTATGTGAGAAATGAAGAAGTGTTATTTAGAGTCAGAAGCAGAGGAATATCCTCACGAAATAAGAAAACGGAAGGCTAATTGGATTGGTCATATCTTACGCAGTAAGTGCCTTCTAAAAGAAGTAATTGAAGGAAAGATAGAGGGGTGGATAGAAGTGACCAGAAGACGAGGAAGAAGACGTAAGAAGATGCTGGATGACCTTGGGGACAGAAGAGGATATTCTCATTTGAAGGAGAAAGCTCAAGATCGCATTAGTTAGTTATTGGAGAAGGTGGGTTTTCCCCATGCACTTAGACCTGTCTTGGTCCATTGTGCTTCCCTCTATGATATTCTACCAGTCTCTATATCCTACCGGTACTGGTGCTTACCATCAGTCCCGCCCAGCCAGCGAGATCGGCCTCTACTAGCTGAGTGGTGTCTATAATGCTTCCCCCATCTACCAGAGGTATTAGAGACTACTGTTGGGCGGGAAACATCCGTAATTTTGCTCAGTGGCCACCTTTGGAGGCATGAGGTTCTTTTACGTGCCGTAAAGCTACGACATGGGACCCACGGCTTAAAGTCCCTCCCGGAGGACTTGTTCCCTGAATGTTTCTGCCCTTAAAAATTCGACGACCTCCACCGGGTATTTGAACCTGCGTACTACGAATCATGAAGTGGGAACGTTACCTCTAGACTATGGAGGCCGCTTTAGATCGCGTTAAGTGGAGGAACTGTTTTGGAAGAGACTGTGGACCTGTTGTCTTGACAGATAACTGATGAATGAATTGAAGAAACTGGCCTATGCTTTACTCTTGAGTCTAATTATTAAACACATTGTGAATTAAAGTGCACGTAGGACATTTGATTTACTGTGATACTCTTAACATTCACTTGACAAACTCATAAGGTAGAAAAACTAGTATGATAGGCATTTTTAAAATCATTTTGCATTTTGATTTATGTATTTTATCTAATTTGAATATTTATCTGGTTTTGATATAGTTTGTTATATTTTAATTGTAGGTTTAACCATGTCGAGTAATTATTTATTGTTGACAAATTCTTATCCTTTAGGCATTTGGGCAAAAGGATTGCCCAATGATGTATTTAATGATGTGACTCGTGTTACTGTTTAGCAATTATGAATGCTAGATAAAAGGAATGAATGAATTGATGAATTAATTATAAGGGTGCTCCTCCTAGATTTTATGTTCTGAGTGTTATTTTACAGTATGCAGTCTGACTTCATATTGATGTGGTATTAAATTTTGGTTGGCTGTGTTAATGTCACATTATCTGTATGTGAAACTTTACCAGTACTGTTGTTTTGAAAATGAGCTTTGTCAAAAATAATGTTGTGCTGCTCACTACTAGTGTGTGATGAGTACCAATTATGACAGCAGAGTCTGCAGACATGATAGTATGCACAACATGTTTATTAATAATGTTAAATATAGAAGTGTACTGTGAGTTTGAAGAGTGCTGTCTCTGGGGATGTAATGCCATGTAGCCTGGTAGAAGTTTACCAACATTTAATTGAAATTTGCAACAAACTTATACCAGACTACATGATGATAAACCCCTGAAATAATGCTGTTCATTTTATTGTCCCATCAGTGCATTTTATTGAAGCTCAAGATAAACTTATGGAAGTACTGACATACAGAATATATTATAAATATAGGGACTATCGCCCAATGCCAGCTCTGGATCGATATGAGACTGATGTATTGGATGATGAAGAGTATGATGACATCTCCCAGACTGAACGAGCAGCAGCTGAGGCAGCCATGAGGCGGAGAGACAGGGAGGAAGGAATTCTTACTCGACGTGGTGATCTTGAACTGATCTATGGTATGCATTATAGTATTTTATTATGAAAACACATAATTGTAGTTTGTTGTGATTAAGTTTGTGTATGTTCATATTTTAATGTACAGAACAGGAAGCACAGTGGAGCAGAATAACTTTCTCAGATTAGTGTGCTCTTTATACTTGGTAGATCAGTGTATCCCTTTAATTAATTATTCCCATTCCTGGTCATTTTGTAACTATTTAAATGTTATCCTCTTGGAGACAGTACATTTTAAGCTCTTGGTATACATTGTGAAGAAAGACCAAGTGTTGCAGCAGTTCTTGTTCAAGCAGTCTGAGTTTCATATCGTGGCCTGTAGACTAGCTATCCTGATTTTTAATGGTTTTCCTCATTCTACTTACAAAATGCCAGGATAGTTCCTCAGATTAAGCCGCAACCGCTTCCTTCCACATCCTATCCATGTCTTTCACTAATCATACTGCCCTTTGTAGTTATTCACATTGCAGAATTTACGTGTATATTCTGACTCTTCAGGAAACATTATTATAGTTATACTCATCATTGTAAATTATGTTTATTTTTGATTATCCACAGTATGCATTAATTGGATGAAGTGAAAATTCTGACATTACATACCTAATTTAGGTGAAAATTTGTGTCATTATCATCCACAAGTCTGCTTTCATTACAGAGGATAGTGATGAAGAGGAAGCGCCAAGAAGAAAGAGACAGAGGGCTGAGAAAGCAGCTGCTGGTGAGCTGGGTGATGAAGAAGTAAGTTCTCTTCTTTGTGGACTGCCTGAGGCTTGGGTGGAACCATTTGTCATGTCCCACTATTTTGTTGAAACTCTTGTAGTTAAATCTTCCATTTACATTACTGTAAACATAAATCATGCAGCAGGTGATCTGGAGACTGATGAGCTTTTTTTGGATGAGTTCTTGAAAGATAACCAATGAAATTTTAAAATCTTCATTAAATTAACTTTATGATTAAAGAAAGGATAGGGAATGTAACAGTGTGATGTATGTTTTGTTAATTTTTAGTTGAATAAAAAAGAATTAAGTAGAATCCAGAGTAGATTCTTAGTCTTGCCAAACTATTGATGCTTCAAATGCCAGTAAAGTATGTAAGAATAAATTAGAAACATGACATGTTCTGTATATAGCCCTACTGTTATTTTAAAAGGCTATGTAGAGAGGATTAAAGAAAAGAATTTTGTTCCAAAAGGGAAGCCTGTTTTGTCAGCCTGCCTGACACAAGAACAGCAAGTTTTTATGCTCTTGATTGGAGCACAGAATTGTCAGTTTTGCATGTACTTAGATGTCATACCATCTGGCCAGCAATTGTCTCCACAAATGTGGAGCTGGATTTCTTCATGTCTCCATCTTCACTTTCTGCCTACATCTTAGTCCCCTGTGTCTATTTACCACATAACATAATTCTGCTGTGTCCAACAGAGCCATCATTTTCACAGCTTCACTGATAGTGATGTCTTGATTTTCAGCAACTGTGTTCCATTTCTTGTCATCTGTTTGTTCTTTGTCTACAGTTATGTTCTGTGTTATCACACTGAAACCTGCTGTACTGAAACAGTGGGCAGTGAGTTAGAAGTCACTCATTCCATGATGACAGTAGTGCCTGAATAATGAATAACTTAGTTATATATTTAGACCGCACCATAGCTCAAGGGGTTAGTCGCTGGCTTCCCACTACGGTGGCCTGGGTTCAATCCTGGGTCTGGTCAAGTGGGATTTGTGGTGGACAAAGTGGCGCTGGGGCAGGTTTTCTCCAAGTATTTCAGTTTCCCCTGCCAATCTTCATTCCACCAATTGCTCCACAATCACCCTCACATATCATGTGGGGCTGGTACAATTGGCCAGAAGTGGCTGCACTACAAGGGACTTAGGCCACACCCCACTAACAATAAAAAAAAATAGTTATATATTTTGAAGGCATCTGTTTTATGGAATTGGATTTCCTGCACTTGGCTGCGACATGTTTGTACAGTGGGCAGGAAGAAGAACCACTTTCGCCTTTACTTTTCTTAAGTTAAGTTTGTTGTTGGTATGCTGCAATCTTATTCACAAAGTGCCTTTTCCCCAGCAACCCTTGTTTTTGTATCAAAATCTGAACCTATCAATGCCTTGTTATTGGTAACATTTTTATGGCAACAAAAATGTTCTTAAAAATCACAGTTTTTGCAAATTTCTCATTCACTAGAGGTTTTTGAACGTATGAAGTAAAACGGTGGTATGTTCTTTGCTTCTTTTTTAAGCACACTTCCCACTAAATATATCAGCTTTTATTTGGAATGCAATTTGCAGTCTCTTTCATGTGTATTAAAAATATTCTTTGGTTGGGCGGCAGGCGCATAGGGCCGACAACCTTGCTGCCATCTATGAGCTGATTGTCTAGAAAATGTGGGAATCTCAACATCTGACAACCCTATGGGCCTCCACGGCCATTACAGGGATACCTTTACTTTACTTAACTACTTTAGTTCCTACTCTTTGAGAAGCAGTGTTCATCTANTCCTCCTAGATTTTATGTTCTGAGTGTTATTTTACAGTATGCAGTCTGACTTCATATTGATGTGGTATTAAATTTTGGTTGGCTGTGTTAATGTCACATTATCTGTATGTGAAACTTTACCAGTACTGTTGTTTTGAAAATGAGCTTTGTCAAAAATAATGTTGTGCTGCTCACTACTAGTGTGTGATGAGTACCAATTATGACAGCAGAGTCTGCAGACATGATAGTATGCACAACATGTTTATTAATAATGTTAAATATAGAAGTGTACTGTGAGTTTGAAGAGTGCTGTCTCTGGGGATGTAATGCCATGTAGCCTGGTAGAAGTTTACCAACATTTAATTGAAATTTGCAACAAACTTATACCAGACTACATGATGATAAACCCCTGAAATAATGCTGTTCATTTTATTGTCCCATCAGTGCATTTTATTGAAGCTCAAGATAAACTTATGGAAGTACTGACATACAGAATATATTATAAATATAGGGACTATCGCCCAATGCCAGCTCTGGATCGATATGAGACTGATGTATTGGATGATGAAGAGTATGATGACATCTCCCAGACTGAACGAGCAGCAGCTGAGGCAGCCATGAGGCGGAGAGACAGGGAGGAAGGAATTCTTACTCGACGTGGTGATCTTGAACTGATCTATGGTATGCATTATAGTATTTTATTATGAAAACACATAATTGTAGTTTGTTGTGATTAAGTTTGTGTATGTTCATATTTTAATGTACAGAACAGGAAGCACAGTGGAGCAGAATAACTTTCTCAGATTAGTGTGCTCTTTATACTTGGTAGATCAGTGTATCCCTTTAATTAATTATTCCCATTCCTGGTCATTTTGTAACTATTTAAATGTTATCCTCTTGGAGACAGTACATTTTAAGCTCTTGGTATACATTGTGAAGAAAGACCAAGTGTTGCAGCAGTTCTTGTTCAAGCAGTCTGAGTTTCATATCGTGGCCTGTAGACTAGCTATCCTGATTTTTAATGGTTTTCCTCATTCTACTTACAAAATGCCAGGATAGTTCCTCAGATTAAGCCGCAACCGCTTCCTTCCACATCCTATCCATGTCTTTCACTAATCATACTGCCCTTTGTAGTTATTCACATTGCAGAATTTACGTGTATATTCTGACTCTTCAGGAAACATTATTATAGTTATACTCATCATTGTAAATTATGTTTATTTTTGATTATCCACAGTATGCATTAATTGGATGAAGTGAAAATTCTGACATTACATACCTAATTTAGGTGAAAATTTGTGTCATTATCATCCACAAGTCTGCTTTCATTACAGAGGATAGTGATGAAGAGGAAGCGCCAAGAAGAAAGAGACAGAGGGCTGAGAAAGCAGCTGCTGGTGAGCTGGGTGATGAAGAAGTAAGTTCTCTTCTTTGTGGACTGCCTGAGGCTTGGGTGGAACCATTTGTCATGTCCCACTATTTTGTTGAAACTCTTGTAGTTAAATCTTCCATTTACATTACTGTAAACATAAATCATGCAGCAGGTGATCTGGAGACTGATGAGCTTTTTTTGGATGAGTTCTTGAAAGATAACCAATGAAATTTTAAAATCTTCATTAAATTAACTTTATGATTAAAGAAAGGATAGGGAATGTAACAGTGTGATGTATGTTTTGTTAATTTTTAGTTGAATAAAAAAGAATTAAGTAGAATCCAGAGTAGATTCTTAGTCTTGCCAAACTATTGATGCTTCAAATGCCAGTAAAGTATGTAAGAATAAATTAGAAACATGACATGTTCTGTATATAGCCCTACTGTTATTTTAAAAGGCTATGTAGAGAGGATTAAAGAAAAGAATTTTGTTCCAAAAGGGAAGCCTGTTTTGTCAGCCTGCCTGACACAAGAACAGCAAGTTTTTATGCTCTTGATTGGAGCACAGAATTGTCAGTTTTGCATGTACTTAGATGTCATACCATCTGGCCAGCAATTGTCTCCACAAATGTGGAGCTGGATTTCTTCATGTCTCCATCTTCACTTTCTGCCTACATCTTAGTCCCCTGTGTCTATTTACCACATAACATAATTCTGCTGTGTCCAACAGAGCCATCATTTTCACAGCTTCACTGATAGTGATGTCTTGATTTTCAGCAACTGTGTTCCATTTCTTGTCATCTGTTTGTTCTTTGTCTACAGTTATGTTCTGTGTTATCACACTGAAACCTGCTGTACTGAAACAGTGGGCAGTGAGTTAGAAGTCACTCATTCCATGATGACAGTAGTGCCTGAATAATGAATAACTTAGTTATATATTTAGACCGCACCATAGCTCAAGGGGTTAGTCGCTGGCTTCCCACTACGGTGGCCTGGGTTCAATCCTGGGTCTGGTCAAGTGGGATTTGTGGTGGACAAAGTGGCGCTGGGGCAGGTTTTCTCCAAGTATTTCAGTTTCCCCTGCCAATCTTCATTCCACCAATTGCTCCACAATCACCCTCACATATCATGTGGGGCTGGTACAATTGGCCAGAAGTGGCTGCACTACAAGGGACTTAGGCCACACCCCACTAACAATAAAAAAAAATAGTTATATATTTTGAAGGCATCTGTTTTATGGAATTGGATTTCCTGCACTTGGCTGCGACATGTTTGTACAGTGGGCAGGAAGAAGAACCACTTTCGCCTTTACTTTTCTTAAGTTAAGTTTGTTGTTGGTATGCTGCAATCTTATTCACAAAGTGCCTTTTCCCCAGCAACCCTTGTTTTTGTATCAAAATCTGAACCTATCAATGCCTTGTTATTGGTAACATTTTTATGGCAACAAAAATGTTCTTAAAAATCACAGTTTTTGCAAATTTCTCATTCACTAGAGGTTTTTGAACGTATGAAGTAAAACGGTGGTATGTTCTTTGCTTCTTTTTTAAGCACACTTCCCACTAAATATATCAGCTTTTATTTGGAATGCAATTTGCAGTCTCTTTCATGTGTATTAAAAATATTCTTTGGTTGGGCGACAGGCGCATAGGGCCGACAACCTTGCTGCCATCTATGAGCTGATTGTCTAGAAAATGTGGGAATCTCAACATCTGACAACCCTATGGGCCTCCACGGCCATTACAGGGATACCTTTACTTTACTTAACTACTTTAGTTCAAACTCTTTGAGAAAACATGGCAAGTCATACCAGTACCCCGTAGTTTCTATAGTCATACTTTTATCAGCATACATACATGGTAGGTACATGCTAAAACTGTGCTGGGTGACCTGCTGCAGTTACTGGCACAGAAATCAAGATACATGAATTAGGCTTACAAAAGAAGACCTTGAACAACACAGTATGTTCCTCTGAAACATCTCTTGGTTTCTACTGGACTACATGATGTCACATCACAGAAGATAATACTCTTCATAGCCACTCAGATCCACCAATGTCATATTTTAGTTCAATTTTGAAGATATTTGAGTAGTGATTTTCTATAATGAATATAAATTTTCTTTCAGATGATTGAATCCATTGAGAATCTGGAAGACACCAAAGGGCACACAATAAAAGAATGGGTTTCTATGCTGGGACCTCGTACTGAAATTGCAAATCGATTCAAGAGTTTTTTGAGAAACTATGTAAACTCAAAAGGTCATTACCTCTATAAGGAGCGCATACGACGTATGTGTGAAAGCAATAGGTCAAGTTTTGTGGTTGAGTTTCCCATCTTGGCATCCAAGGAGCAGGTACTTGCCTTCTTCCTGCCAGATGCACCGTTTGAAATGCTTGCAATATTTGATGAGGTGGCTACCCAGCTTGTGCTCAGCATCTTCCCAAGCTATGATCGTGTCACAACAGACATCCATGTCCGAATCTCTGATCTGCCTCTTGTGGAAGATCTACGTACATTCAGGTGAGTGTACGTTGGGAAATTTCTCTTGCCTTTGAGTCAGAGTAACATTATTAATACATGTTGGTAGAGTTTTGTCAGTAAAGTGACTGGCTACAAGCTGGAGACTGGTTGAATTCCCTACAGGGGCAGAATTTCTCTTTTTGATGTGTCCAGATCGGTCCTGCAGGCTATCCAGCATCCTGTTCAACAGATGGTGGGAATAAAGTGACCACAGCATAAAGCTGATAAGACTACTGACTTCTCTGTAATGCATGTGTATTTACGCGCACTTCTTATGTCTGCCTGCAGAGAAGTGCTTAGACATAGAGTTTCTTCCTTTACTTTATATTTTTAGTTAGCTATCTTTTGCATGCAGTTGATTGGTTGCAATTGACTTTTACATATTGCAGCATGGAACAAATAAGCTTTGTACTTATATACATATTGTGACGTGTTGCGCTATGGAGGACACCCCCCCCCTTCCTCCCCAGCGGTGACTTGGCATCGGAGTGCTGTCGTTACTACGACAACAGGCAAGTTAACACTCCTTCCCCTACCCCGCCAGCGGTGATGTAGTAACACTTTCGGAGCTTTGCCATTGCTACAGTAATAGGCCAGTCAACACCCCTTTCCCCGCGGTGATGTAACACAGGACGCCGCAGTTGCTACGTAGCCGTAAACAACTCCCGGCAGTGAAGCCCAGCAATGCCAGTGAATACGTGTAGACTACTGAGGACAGAGTGGACAGATTTGTGTGCAGGGTTTGTAAAGTGTGTAAACCTGTAACACTTCTAATTAATTGTAGCTGAGACTTGTAAGTTGTTAAATAAACCAATTAACAATCCGAACGGCGTCTTCAGTGGCAAAAACACGTTACAATATATTTTTATATGAAGTTAATCAGGTTGTAATTGACTTGTACATGTTGCAAAATGGAATAAATAGTACAACTTGCACACATATGAATATGATAACTGTCTTTGAAAATTTGAAGAAAAGTATGACACAGATAGACTTGAAAGGATTCTGACGATGGTGTATACTGTACTTCTTTTGGCTTAAATAAGCCAAAAGAAGTAAAGTATGACACAGTTCATCAGTTTCACAGCTGTGAGTTTGAGGTAGTGTATATTTTTGATAATAGGTTGTGTTCAGTAAAAATTCTGCCATTGCTTTTTATTGCAGCATCAAAACTTGTGTGCTCAGTTTAAATGTAGACATGAAGTATCTGATTCATGATTTGACATCATATTGTAATTCTTGCCTGTTTTTGCATGTTACAGGAAGATCCATTTGAACCAGTTTGTTCGCACAACTGGTGTGGTGACAGCAACAACAGGTGTTCTTCCGCAATTGTCAGTTGTGAAGTATGACTGTAACAAATGTGGCTATGTGTTGGGTCCGTTTGTTCAATCCCAGAATGCTGAAGTGAAGCCAGGCTCATGTCCTGAGTGTCAGAGCAATGGTCCTTTCATGGTAAGAAAGTATGTTTCCATAACGATGACTGCAGGTATATTAGGCATATATCTAAAAATAAAATCCTCAGTCACATTTAACTAGTTTTCATCACACATGTTTGGAATGTTTAATAAATGCATCTAATTGGTACCTTTGGAAACAATTCCTTTTATGCATGTGAGATATGACAATGTAGACCAGTGATCTTTTATACAAGTCATGAAATTTTGTGTGATATATTATTTTTACTTCTTATTGTGATAATATTTATTATATGATTGGTGATATTAGGTATGATTATGCAATAGAAACATATTTTATATGTAACATATTTCTGTCATGATGTAAGAATGTTCCCTGGATGTCATTTTTACTGGGCCTAGGCATATAAAACACATGTTATCATAAATGCTGGTGCATAGAAAACGTTTCTCTGCAGGTATTGTTCTGTTAGTATCTTTTTCTGTGTTACAGTTGAATTGGTTGGTTAGATGATGTTTGTCCAGTAGCTGAAATACTGACATGTTCTGTTCTCCAATTAACCAGCTAAGATGTACTTTGAGTAAATCACAGTGACTTAGTAGGATCCCTTTAATCAATTAAGAAAGACATTTCATGACTGGACCAAACCTCCATTAGCTTGTGCACTAGGCTGGCTATTTTCCACCTTGCATTATTGTCATCCAGAGCTGCTTCTAAAGCCATGTACTGCTCTGAATGATTCCTGTATGAAGAAACACATGTTACATGTGAAAATTAGGATTGGTGCTGTAATTTGTATTTAAAGCTAGATTTGCAGGGGTAGATGTCCTTGATTGTAGTTGAATCTTAATTTTGTTGCATGTATATTTACTCCCCAGATCAACATGGAGCAAACAATCTACCGCAATTACCAGAAAATTACTCTGCAGGAATCTCCAGGTCGTATCCCAGCGGGACGAATTCCCCGTTCCAAAGATTGTGTCATGTTGGCAGACCTGTGTGACCGCTGCAAACCTGGGGATGAGATTGATGTGACTGGAATCTACACAAACAACTATGATGGCTCCCTCAACACTGAACAGGGTTTCCCTGTTTTCTCAACTGTTATAATGGCCAACCACTTGATAGTAAAGGACTGCAAGCAGATTGTACAGTCACTGACTGATGAAGATGTTGCAGCCATTACCCGTCTCTCAAAGGATCACAGAATTGGAGAGAGAATTGTTGCCAGTATTGGTCCTTCCATATATGGCCATGAGTACATCAAGAGAGGCATTGCATTGGCTCTCTTTGGTGGAGAGTCTAAGAATCCTGGTGAGACTTAAAATATTATTTTAATCTATGCCATATATATATATGTGTGTCATGTGATGGGCCCGGCAGCCGTACTGTTGCACTGTTTTCAGTATAAGTATCATCTCTTTCTGGGAAAGGGATGTTTTAATTCTGTGTGTGATATCCAGGCCAAAAACACAAGGTGCGTGGAGATATCAATGTACTCATCTGTGGTGACCCTGGCACAGCCAAATCACAGTTTCTGAAGTATGTTGAGAAGATAGCACCGCGGGCAGTGTTTACTACTGGTCAAGGAGCATCAGCTGTCGGTCTGACAGCCTATGTGAAACGTAGCCCTGCTACAAGGGAGTGGACTTTGGAGGCTGGAGCATTGGTCCTGGCAGACCAGGGTGTTTGCCTCATTGATGAATTTGATAAGGTACACACTTTTAACTACCATATTAGTCATTCATTGAAGATAGAAGGCAAATAAAATACAGAATCACTGACAGCATGAAAAGCATACAGTCAGTGCAGACACACTTTGAAGATTTTTTGTACTTCTTGTATTTAGCTTGATTTGTTGATTTTGTATTCAGTCATGCTTCTGATTTTAAAACTTAATCACTGCAGTAATACAGTTGACTGAAGACCTCTGAAGGTGGAATGGAAAAATCCTACAATTCATAAACCAATACTGACTTCATTGGTTAATCTTTAATGACTGTAATTGTTTGTCTAGTATCCAAAGCTGCTATTCACATCTACTTGTCTATAATTTGAGTGTACTGTTTAGCTCCAATATTTAATCGACCACGATATTTTATATATAATTTTTTGTGATACATCTGCAGGAAGCAGCTGTTGTAATGATTCTCTTCTCAAGATTCCTGTGTGAGCATATCAGCCCAAAACAAGATGTGAGTGACAAAATATTCTGTCTCATGTGTATATTGAAAATGGAGGTATTTATGTAATTTTGCAGATGAACGATCAGGACCGGACATCAATTCACGAGGCTATGGAGCAGCAGTCTATATCAATTTCAAAGGCTGGGATTGTTACATCCCTGCAGGCTCGATGTTCAGTCATTGCTGCTTCTAACCCCATTGGTGGACGCTACGATGCTAGCATGACCTTCTCAGAAAATGTGAGTCTACAATAACATATTTCTGATTGAGGTACTATGTATTAAGAAATTGGGAAATACTTACTCTGTCTCTGAGACAGATATTGCAAGATTCAAGCTTCTTTGTTATTTCATAGAGTGAGTAATGATTATAAATTAATTATAAGCAATAGATTAAACAGCATTCCAAACAGAAAAGACAACAATTTCTCTTTCAGACCTGACTTAATTTCCCCAAAAATGTGTGCAGTGGAAGCCCCATTTAAAGTTTGCCTTGAGGATGATGTGAGAAAACTTAAGTTTGTGTTCCATTGTATATGTAAATTAGTGAACGGATATGACTGTCATGTACTGTGTGCATTCATGTGTTCAGGTAAATCTGTCAGAACCCATCCTCTCAAGGTTCGATGTGCTGTGTGTTGTACGAGATGAAGTGGATCCAATGCAAGATCAGCACTTGGCGCAGTTTGTGGTGGCATCACATATAAAACATCACCCCAGCAAGGGTATCCAACGAGATGAGATGCCCTCTGATCCAGCACTTGGTGATGTACAGCCCATCCCACAGGAGTTACTTAAGAAGTACATTGTTTATGCCCGTGAGAATGTGCATCCTAAGCTGCAGCGCATGGATCAGGATAAAGTGGCAAAGATGTACAGTCAGTTGCGTCAGGAGTCCCTGGTAAGTTGCATAGCCATCCATGTCTTGTGCAGATGATATATTAGCAGTCCATTTTAAAACCATTTTTGCCAAACTGTGGAAATGGGGATTCATACAGTTTGTTTCAGGTAACTGTTGAGAAAGATATTTGATTTTTCTTTTGAAAGTCCAAATTGTATGGAGGTTGTTGGGTTTGTTAAGGGTGAGAATATGTTGAAAATTTTGGGCTTATTTACTTTGGAAACAAACAACCAAATCAAAATTTGTATGCTCCATAATTTGCAAGGACTCAAGTAAATTGTATGCTCTGATTTTATAAATAGTTTTATTATGTACATGAAGTGGAAGGAAAATGCATTTGATCAAGTGAGTTATGAATCAGATTTTCAAGTATATACAGGGATTATGTGTTTTTTCATAGGTTATGTTTCCTTAGTAGGATGGCTGATAGTTCAGGTTACATGTTTTCTACATAAGAGAAAACTAAGAGTATGTTTGTTTTTAGGCAACTGGCAGTCTACCCATCACAGTACGACATATTGAGAGTGTGATTCGGATGGCTGAGGCTAATGCACGCATGCACTTGCGGGACTATGTACAAGAAGATGATGTGAACATGGCTATCCGCATGATGTTGGAAAGTTTTGTTGAGACACAAAAGTACAGTGTCATGAAATCAATGAAAAATGTAAGTTTAAGCTTTTTTCTTTTGTGTAATATCATTACAGCTGGAAATGCTAAGCTTTTATTTTACCCCAGAAATTACTCATGACGACTCTGTAGACCCATAAATCAGATATAGGTCACTTTATTTCAGGGTTTGTCTCAAAAAGGGGGTATGACCCACATGAAGACCTGCATATTTTATTTCTGAAATGACAGTACCCTTATCAGTGCATATAACCATATTATGAGCTTAAATGACATAAGAATTGAAAGGTCTAAGTAGAACCATGGCAAGAATACTAAATATATTCAAAATAGATTTAAATACAAAGTATACAATCAAACAAATGTAACTTAGGATGTAGAATGAAGTTTTTCATGATACACAGTATATCAAGTATTAGATATTTACTTGAACAAATATGCACTACATATGCAGGCTAGTTGCAAACTCAGGCATTTTGAACAAGAAATAAACATAGATTTACCGAGTGTATTAGAGATCTGTTCCATAGAAGAGCTGCGTCTAATGGAAACACAGGCCTAATTACGCATCTTCTGATGTCAAAACAAATACAGAGAATAATGTTCCAAAGAAAGGTGGTATCACTTGATCCTTTCATCTTATCATCCAATTACAAATATGTGATATTAAATTAGCTCTGAAAGGCGTGGCACAACTGACAATGGTATGCATTGTCCTTATTGTGAATATTTTCCTCGTTCATCACACCTGTTTGACTTTCTGGACTCTGTCATAGCAGTACTATGGTTGATTTCGTGAGTTTTCCTTCGCCTTCTTTCTTCCTTTCATGCTCTTGTCTTGTTTCCTCCTTTCTCTATTATATCAGCAAATTAAGTTATGTCTGTGTCATTCAGACATAGACATTCTCATAGAGTTGCCTCCTTTGTAAAGTACATGCAAACTACTGCAGCATGAGAAAATCACAGGAGTGATTGTGTGAATATCTGTGCTTGAAAAAATTCTGTAAGGTAGTTCCAGAATTTTTTTTTTGTGAGCCAGTTTGCTCTTTTGACATGGATTTCAACAGTAGGATGCATGTTGACAGTAACATTGGTTAAATAAAGAAAAGAAGCTTGTATTCGTATCAGGTAAATATAGTATCTGTGTGAATGTAGGTGTTGAACACAGGCAAGAACTACAGTGACCTTAATTGTTGCAGACCTTCCAGAAGTACTTGTCCTTTAAGAAAGACAACAGTGAATTGTTATTCTACCTCTTACGGCAAATGGCATTAGATCAGCTGACATACATCCGTTGTGTGCAGGGGCCAGATGCTGCCGTTATCGAAATCAGTGAGAAGGATCTCATTGATCGAGTGAGTGTTCACTTTCCTGTAAAAATTAAGTTCAGAAGCAATAAATTTAACATAAGGCTAGTCAGAATCATCCTAATAAATCACTTTGTCCCAATAAGGTAACAGGAAACTGATACACAAGATGACAGAAAAATAAGGGTTTTGTTACAGTTTATTGAAGCAGCTTGAATGACATAATTCCTTCCATCTTTCTATGAAGGTTATTTGGAAAGTAAAGATACAAAGTCCAGAAAATATTTATAAAGAATTTTTTTTATTCACTTGTAGCACTTTTACAACACACCTTTATTTACTTTTCAACATAGTCACCATGGATCACAATGCACTTAGCCTTGGAATGAATTTCTTTATCCTAACGTCATTGAAATCTCCTGCTTGCTCTCTTAGCCATGTCATCACTGAGTCTTGAACCTCATCATTGTCCAAAAGAGTCTTTTCAGCCAGACTTTCCTTCAATTTAGAAAACAAGTGATAGTTGTTTGGTGCAAGATCTGTGCTGTCTGGTGGATGGGCCAATATTTCCCACTTGAAGGACTGCAACAACTCCTGCATGGGGTGAGCAGCGTGCAGATGGGCGTTGTCATGCAGTAAGCAGATTCCTCGTGTCAGCATTCCTCTCGGCTTGTTTTGAATAGCCTGACAGTTTCTTCTGCGTCTCACAGTAAGCAGTAGTACTAATGGTATCTCCTTGAGGCAAAAATTTGATGAGAAGTGGCCACTTCCTATCCCAGAAGATGGTTGCCTTGATTTTTTGGTTTGATGGTTAGGTTTTGAATTTTTTCACTGTTGGTGAGTGTGTGGCGCCAATGTGTTGATTGTTGCTTATTCTTAGGTATGTGATGAGATACCCAAGTTTCATCTCCCATCACAGTACAGTCCAGAAAGTCGTCACCATGATCCTTGTAACGCGTGAGGAATGCCTGGGCCGCAGCCACACAATTTTTCTTGTGATCGTCTGTCAGCATTTTCGGCACCCAACATGTGCACAGCTTCCAATAGCCTAATCTTCTAACAATTTCGTGGAGAACAGTATGTGACACTTCTGGACATTGTTGATGAAGTTCATTAATGGTTAAACGTCTGTCAGCATGAGTATTTCATCAGTTTTTGGATGATTTCATCAGTCACAACAGATGGCCTTCCACTCCTTATTTCACATGAACATTACTTCTTCCAGCTTCAAATTCATGACACAATTTTGCCACGTTTTGCCTGTTCATAACATCTTTGCTGTAAACAGAAACATGTTGGCAATGAATTTCAGCAGCAGTTTCTCCTTTCATGTGATGAAATAAGATTACTGCATGAACCTCACATTTGGTGGGATTTTGAATTGACATGGCCATTTTAAACACTGCGAGCACAAGGTTGCCGTGACTGTGGCCGGTGAACTCTGCCCTGTCATTCGGTTCCTATCTCACATGGCAGCACTGCCATTTCTGGGGGGGGGGAATTCTTGCATTTTTACTGGTCTTGTATCTTTACTTTCCGAATATCCCTCATAGCAATACTTGAATGGGCAGTAGTTAGATCATTAAATTTCTTTTGTAATCTTAATATGTGAGTACACAAACTATCCAACTTTGTTTGCCCCCTCATTTAACTGTTTTACAGTATATGCAAAGTAAATAGCCAGTGGATATGTGCAAGGAATAATTATGTAAGTTGCATGTATTATGACAGTGTTAATGTTTTTTTCTTTGTGTAATGCTGGCATGGCTGCTCAACATGCAGGTATGTTGTTTCTGTGGTAGTGTTTATCTTATTTTGGACCAGTGTTTTGTGACAACATTATGAGTTAGAAATACCAATATGTAAATGTAGAGCAAGAGAAACTTTGCTGATTTACCCTTTTGTAACCTACAAGGAAGGGATAGACAGCTCGAAATGTGTTTAAAAAACTTGCAGTGATGAAGGTAAACAAGGGAGTAGTATGTGAAGTTTAAAATGTTAGATGTGAGGACTATTACATTCCCATTTTATGAATATATACGAAGGGGGACCCAAAAATAACCGGAACCGACCTGTTGCGCGCGCATGCTTTGTAGTTACAAGTTGTGCTGCTAGATGATGTTAGCTGGGGGTCTCCCGCGACTGTTAGTGAGCTGGCGTCAGTCTGAGTTAAGTGGTCTGTCTGTGGTGCTCTGTTGTGTGCGTTCCTGTTTCAACCCTTTGGCGATTAGTGAGATGGCCGACCAGAAGGAACAAAGAATGTGCGTGAAATTTTGCTTGATGAAGATCGTCGAAAGACCATTGCCCAACTTTCTGAGGAAACGAACATCTCATGGAGCACGGTCCAGCGAATTTTAACCGAAGGTTTGCACATGAGATGGGTGTCTGCAAAATTTGTTCCTCGCTTGCTCGGAGATGACCAAAGAGAAATCCGCATGAATGTTTGCCGCGACTTGAAGAGTGAAGTGCAGAATGATCCAGAATTTCTTAAAAGAATTGTTCCTTCTGGTCAGCCATCTCACTAATCGCCAAAGGGTTGAAACAGGAACGCACACAACAGAGCACCACAGACAAACCACTTAACTCAGACTGACGCCAGCTCACTAACAGTCGCGGGAGACCCCCAGCTAACACCACCTAGCAGCACAACTCGTAACTACAAAGCATGCGCGCGCAACAGGTCGGTTCCGGTTATTTTTGGGTCCCCCCTCGTATATAAGAACTACTGCAGTGGCAAAAATTAAATACCCGTTCTGTTTTATAAGAAAGGTCTTGTTATAAGTGATATCTGTAACACATAAATAATTCAACATTGTCATACATTCTTTTTCTAGGCAAGGCTGATTGATATTCATGATGTGAAACCATTCTATGAGAGCAAGATCTTCAAATCAAACAGTTATGTGTATGATGCACACAGAAAGATGATAGTGCAGACAGTACCAGAAGCAGCCATACCGGAGAACTAGGATAAAGCACAGAGAGTACCAGAAGCAGCCATACCGGAGAACTAGGATAAAGTGCAGAAAGTACCAGAAGCAGCCATGCCGGAGAACTAGGATAAAGCAGTTTCTGAAGTGTACAAGTGGAAATTTCAAGATCAATAATTTATATTTTTTGAGCGGGTCTTTTGATTACTACCCATAAACATTTTGAAGAAAGATTAACTATACTGTGTATGTATTAATTGTTAGGATCCCTGTTGAACAGGTATGTGTTGAATATAAGTTGTGGGCTACCAAGGATCAGTGTCAAACTGATAATTGAAGAATACAGGCCACCATTTCAGGTTTCTTTGGGGATCACCATATTTGAACTCTAAATTGAAGAAAATGTCAGATAAGGGAAATCTGACACCAAGATTGTTGATTTGTGGTCATGGAAATTGAATGAACCTCAAATTGAGGAACATTAGATGCGGCTTCCACTATGTATATTGTCATGTCATTGTATATGTCACGCAACACATAACTTCACGCCATTCTGGATCTAGCGAATTTATTGAACGCTTGCTCTTACACTTATACAGTTCACAGTTTCACAATTACTGCAATCTGCAGTATCACAGTTAGTTCTGCTGTAATCACTTCCATTCACTCCATACAACTCAACTTGTAGCTGCTAGACTTCACCTCATTCCGGCGAATGCTAGACTGCAACTGACTTCGGTGACTTCATGATCCACACTCTGTCACTCCTCCTGTGGTCACGTACTGCTCAGCTGGTGTTTTATACCGTTCCTTGTTGCCTCGTGTCAACAGCAGTGTCCCCTGTTATGTCACAGTGGGAAGTGCTGTTGGGTCACCACAAGGGAGGGGGACGGAGTGTTGACTGGCCTGTTACCGAAGCAGTGGCAGTTGCTCTGATCTGTTATGTCACCGCTGGAAAGGGGGGGGGTTACCAAGCGTTGTGCCGTCCACGTCACATTGCTCCCTTCTAAAGGGTGTTCGTCCTGAACAGCCTAATGGTTTATCCCTGTTCTTTTCTCTGGTGTTTGTCTTCGGTGCGCTACCTCCACTCCCCTTCTTTAAAGGTGCTTGTCCCGAGCAATTTCATGGTCCAGCTTTCGTCAATCCGTTTTATCACATTCACTCATCACTTTCATCCATCGCACATTCATTCCTGCTGGGGAGGCTGGTACTTCTACGTTACCGGCTCCTCTTCTGCTTGAAGTATCTTTTTCTGTTTTGGAAGGGGTTGACCCCTCCACAAGTTCCAGTTCCTCATTTTCGGTGACCCACTGGAAATTCATACTGCTCGTTTCACAATTTCCAGCTCTAGCATCTTCTTGAGAGTCTTATAGGCGGGTCCTATTTTTCCCAGAGGCGATAGATGTCTTGAGCTGCACCCTCTGATACTGATCGCGGTTGCTCTCTACATTCTCTCATATAGCGGCTGCTTGCCGCCTTGGTCCTTAATTCCATTTTTGCATTCAGGTCTTGTTTGATATCTCCTCCCAAGCATCCGTTCTTTTAGGGTTCGTTGTACCACATTGCCATGGCTTTGTTCGTAATACCTGTGTCCTGCACAGAATGTGATCTTCCTTATGGCTGCTGTTACTTCTTTCCGCAGTCCACGATTTCCGTGGGTCATCATTTTTCTGAAGATGTTTCTCTTGCGCCATGCCACTGTTGCATGACGGGACATCTTCCTGCAGGTGGCAGCCAACTTCATCCGGGATCCACAATCTCCTCGGGTCAGGTTCTTCGGCTCTCCGCGTCGCCCTGCAGCTTGCTTCTTGCCCCTATGCCTCCTCTTCCATCTTTTGACTGGTTTCACTATGGCATCTTTCTTGGAGACTTCTCGTTGTTAGGCCACCTCAGGTTTCGTTTCCACTGAGGTCGGCTCTTTCTCTTCTACATGCGCCTCCGTCTTTTCTGAGCAGGCCTTCGTCTCTTTTTCTTCTAAATGCGCCTCTGTCGTTTCTTGGCAGGCCATTGACTTTACGTCCCTTTCCGGTTTTGTTTCGGCCACCATCTCCTTGTGGCTGGTGTCCATAATTTCATCATCTATACAACCTTTTTATTTGACTGTCACAACACAGCAAATATAGAACTTCAAGGACAATGCTCAGTATAGTTCTGCTATATGTTTCGGCCACGAGTGGCCATCAGGCAAACACATTTCAACAAACGTACACCATTGAACTGCAGTACGTAAAATTTGATAGAATGTTATAAATCATTTAAGTTAATTTGCACAAGAATACAATAAGTAGGTTATTTAAAACAGTAACAAGTCATATATAAAATTAAAATTTGATTGATGTTTAATAACATCGAATCGGTCGTTGGTTTTACTTTTCATACATTTCTGTCGACAAATAGTAAATTCAAGTTTCTTATAAAATTGTGTAGGAGGTCCAATAACGTTGTAAATTAATTAATGGAATAGTTGGGGCTTCATCATATGGAGAATTGTACATATTGTATGGAAAGTAATCAACGACTCAATCAATTAATGAAATTAAAATTTTCATCATCGTTTCCTTCAGTTCTCTTCGGTTGGCCTATCTGTCCTCCAATCTGGCCAGCAATTCCTTGTGGCCGATCTCCACCTTTTCTTGGTTGGAGTCTAATTTTGCCATGAAATCTTCTTTGTCTTTCTTCCTATTGGCCTCTGCCTTCGCCTGGTCAGCCTTCGTCTCTTTCAGCATTTCGATTATTTGTTCCATGTTCGTATGGCAACACTGTAAACACACACATCAGTCTTCAGTTCAAATTGTGGCATGTTTAAGTTCGTAAATCAATTCGGACACCAAATTGTCACGTGTTTTGTCTCTAAAGACGCTGTTCATATTGTTAATTGGTTTATTTAACAATCTACAAATCGTAACTACAATTAATTATAACACATTTCTGGGTTTACCCAATTTATAAACCCTACACAATGATCTATTCACTCTAGCTTCAGTAGTCTTCACTTATTAACAGTACAGTATGGGAGCTATACCAGTGTCACTGCATTATGCACTCCCAGTGTCTTCTCACGCTATCGCCTCTAATCACACGTTCTGATCTTCTTCACTCGCTACAACTGAACTTGGTGACTACTACAATTCAACTGACTCCTTAATCAAAGTCAAAGTCACCTTGCGACTGACGGTCAGTCAGTCAGTCAGTAAGTCTTGGTTTCGAGCCCCATTTGGGGTTCATGACCAGATATTTATTACTGTTTGACAGTTACGGTCTTGTTTTTGTGGGGCGCCCTCTCTGACGAGAGGACGGGTCTGTATTTTGTATATGCTGCTGGTCCTTGCCAGAGCAGTCTTTCTTGGGTCCGAGTCCCTTGGGACTCGTGACCATATTTTACTGTCTCAGAACTGAGACTTCCCTTTCGTCGCCTCTTACGACTCGCAGGTTCACGGTGGAGGTATTCAATCCCGCCTCCACACGGGGTTGTCACCGAAGTTCACTGACTGACTCCTTAGGCATTCCAATTCTCTTATAAACCCTCAGCCAGACAGCGGAAAATGTGCCTTGCTTACCTGTTGCATAATCGCTGTGTTTATAGGTGTTGCTGGGCAACGCTGCCAAGAGTTGTTTATTGCTTCGTAGCAACCAGCGTGCTTCGGCTCACTTCAGCTCTACTTGGCATGGCATGGAGAAATACCGCTTTCCTTACTGTTGCGTAACCTGGCAACTGACCGTTTATCAAGACTGTCTTCGTGCTAACTCGTTCCACCTCCCATTGCCCAGCAATGGTTAGACATGTCACAATATTTTAAATTTGTCTTGTAAATAATCTTCATGTCTTAAATTCTTTTTTTGATGAAGTCCTTGTGCAAAATAGATTGTAAAACCTTCCTCATATGCATTGTATATAAAAAAGTCATGCTTAATTAAGCACTGCCATTAAGGCATGTGTGGAAGTGGAGGTGTAGTGTCACCATTCTTGACCTCTGCACTAGTTGAGGTTGAGTGGCCCACTTCATGCCTCAGCTATTTCATCCACAGGGAAACAGCCCCAGTTACCCATCGGATAGGAGACCGGGTGGGGCTCTTAGCCAGTCTGGACACTGTGGGGAAGAGAAAATGTCTTGTCCCTGCAAGGAATTGAACCCTGGCCATCCAGTCTGTAGCTTGCCACTATACTGACAGCTATCCCGGCTCGTATGCGTTGTATAGGAGTCAAGAAGAAAACAATTGGATGCCCGGAACCCCTTTTATGCACTAGGAGTCTCCAAAGTAGAGCACCTTTTCTTTATATTATCATATGTATGGGGGTGTGCATGTCTTATAGACAGGTTTTGGATTGGATTTATTCACACCTTATACACACCACTAGTAAGTACAAGTAAATCAGTGCTATCACTGATCTAGGCCGGTCACGGTAGCCGAGTGGTCTAAGGCATGCACTGTCTTCGCTCGCTCGGAAGCCGAGATCGTGGGTTTGAATCCCACTCAGGGCATGGATGTTTGTGTGTGTTTTTTTGTGTTTGTCTACAGGTAGAGGCCTTGCTACGAGCTGATCACTCGCCCAAGGAGTCCTACCGTATGTGTAAGATCTAGAAAAACCAAACTGAACAGAGAAGTTCATGGAGGTAGGCCTAGGCCCACTGGGGCTGTAGTGCCAAGGAAAAAAAAAATCACTGATCTAGACACTTTACAGACCACAAGGATATACTATGTGTTCTCAATCTTCACTAGTCTTATCATGACAAGGGATTCGTAACAGTCACACATGGAAGTCTTCTTTGCACAGTCTAATTCCTTTCTTGCCATTATTCTACCAACTGCCAACTATGGAGACTTCCTCATTTCTCTGCTGCAACTGCTAACTCTGGAACTCAACTCAGTTCTCAGCTGCAATTGCAATCTCCAGAACAACTCAGTTCTAATTATAGCTATGTGAGATCCTCGTAATATAGCTTTGGGGCAGCTCCCACAGAAAACACTGCTTCCTCTATTGTTGCGTGTTGATTCACTGCTGCAGAGATGTGCATACCACACCACTGCATAACTACCCGCACTGCACAGACCACAGAAGACACTGCCCTTCTACTGTTGCATATGTTCGTGTCTACAGGAATGTGTTTACCAAGGTGTTGCCTAGCAATGAACTATTCCACCTTTCAGGTGTCGTGTCAGTATGGATGACCAAAAAATTGGATCGATTCCCACACAAGATTTTTCACAACTCCACAGCATCCACACTATCCGGGGTTCACTCAGTCCCCTGTCCAATTGGATACTGCTGACTTTCACTGGTGTTGAAGTGGGTGACACATGGAAGCTGCCCACTCAACTCCATCTAGTTCCAAGGTTAAAAATATGTGGCTCTATACCTCACCTCCCCTTCCATCTTCATGGCATAGTGCTTAATTAAGTACAGGGACAACTTTACTGATACTTGAGAATGTCCAAGTCAGATATCCATGTCATTGTAAAGAGTTGCCTTTATCAGTAGTTTGTTGTGCGTCAGAACTAATCAGATGGTTACAAGAGCAATTGATATGTAACTGCCATCCACTTTATAATCTAGCCACTTTGTTTTAAAGCCAGTATGTTACTTGTCAGGTTTTAAGAGTGCATGTTATTTGCTAAGGGTTGGAAAATTGTTAGTAATGAAATTACATGTTAAAAGACTGCCATGTACAGATATTTCTATAAGGCATAAATTTTACGCAATTCAAAGCTGTGGTCCCTTCTCATGGTTTTGGTCACTATCCACTGCAGGGGGAAGAAGAAAGAAATAGGCAGAAGATCAAAATTACATTATTGTTACTTCAGTTCGGTGTCATTCAGATTTTCCTTACGGAGTTAAGTTAAACCTTAAGGAAGTATTTCTTGCTTACCGTTACGAACTTTGTGTCATGGGGTGCCTTCCAGATAAACCCCTTATGTGGGCATTTAAATGGCCTGCTATTATGCTTACACTTGGAGTGGCTGTTTAAATCTGCATTATGGTTCTTTCATTCTGCCATATATTTAGAAACTGAAGGACAGTAAACAGCTGTCTGAAGCTAGTTAAATTTACCTTCATGCCATCTGTGAATGACATGTGAAAATAAAACAGTCTGAAACGTTCCTTCAAGCTGGATTGAAGTACAGGTGTAGAATTATGTTACATTCTCGCATTAAATATTTGTATTTGTGTTAAAGGTTTTTATATAACTTGCAGGGTTTACTCTTAAAAAGACCGATTTTCAGTTTTGATGACTTCATGGTCTCAGAATTTGCAGTTGAAGTATTTGGCTGCATCAGCTATTGAAAAATAATCTTTTAATACTAACAGCAGTAGTATAAAGTGACAGACAAATGAATGACTTAAAAATAAGTTACATATCATGAGATGTTATAATATTTTTCTTGAAACCATGAATTCTGACTATTCATACTTTTTAAGAAATGGAACATAGGTGCAAAGTTTTTCCGGTGCTTTTCATTCCCCCTCCCTCTTTTTATTTTTTATTTATAACTTAGTTTTAGAAGAGTAAACTGCAGAAGCCCTACAAATCTCTTGTGATCGCTTTATTGGTGTTTACCAATACTAAGTATTTTCATACACAGTTTATAGCTTTTAGCATTTTTCCTCATCATCACAATTTTATTTTCATGCTGTACATTTGATGGAGTTAAATCATGAACTCATGAATTGCTCTCATCTTCATGGTTGCTGCACATTTTTTATTTATGGAAAAAATGGCACTGAAACATTCAGGCAGTGCTTCAAAAACTTATGTTGGCATTGGATTGATCCATTTGAAATATTTGTACATGAAAATATGACAAATCTCATGAGTTACATGCACAGCACAGGTTGTTAAAAGCTATGTGACGGAGGTAATAAAACATAGGACTGCTCTCTAAACATTTTCTTTTAGAAAATAAGGTTAAAAGCACAGTTTTAGATAATGTTACTTCATTACTAAATTTCACTATTGTGGAAATATTCATGAAAGAATTGTATGCTTAGAAAATTTTCAAAGATTTTAGGTGTGCCATGCATGTTGAGTGGCGACCGTGCATTGAGATACGCTTCATAAGACTCAAATCTGTTTCGGTGATGTGCACACATATTGATATATATTTGAGGTCAGCTGCTAGGTATCATGGTGCTGTGTGTCCATGGTGCCTTTAAACTTAATGAATGTGTTACATTATTGTGAGTGGTATCTGCCCATTTGTAAGTTCATTAAATGGAAATGTATATGATTATTTCAATTTTCAGTGAATAATTAAAAATATTGTATTTTTGTCATTAAAATCAAAATAAATGTCTAGGTGAGTGTTAAATATTGAAAAATAATTATGCACTGTATCATATAAGCTTTTACTGAGCAAATGTAAGTTTACCTTTGCTTTCAAATATTGAATTCTGTAACAAACTTCACCTTTTATTTATTATTTTACTCGCACAGCAGAGTTGCAAACAGGGCAGTGACTTTAATATGTCACAATATATCATTTGTTCCTGTGGTTGACAGCTGTGACTTAACTTTAGTTCTTATATGATTGCTAAAAATCATGATATATCTTAGATCCTTGTGCTGTGATTGAGAACCATAATATTAAATAAAAATGTTATGCCTCAGGGCCTAGGTGCCCCCCCACCACAAATCTGGACAGGAAATGTTACACATACACGCACACAGCTCGAATGTCTGAGATTTGCGCATATCACCTTGCAAGAATGCACACTGGGATGCACTGAGAGGATGAGACAGCATTAAAAGACATGTACTGTGAGAACAAAAAACTGTATTTTGTTGACTAGTTTTATCAAGTATAATAAAAGGGCAGGCCAATCACAAAGTTAAAAAGAATAATTGTGAGAATTGAGTGTTATTTTTCAGGCTCCTAGTGTGAGGAATTCTGTAATGGTCTCTTGCTGGCTAAATCCACATAACTAGTTTTACTTCATACATTATTACATGGTTACAATATGTATGGAAGGTAGTAGTGTTTAAAGTAGACTTACAGATTGTAGACACAACCTACAAATAATAAATGTAGAACTATATTTTTATAAATCTAAGATGTATAAATGATAGACTGTATAAAATACAAATAAAACTATACGATATCTCAGAACTAGTATTATGTTATACTGCAGAATGCTGTTTTCTTTGTAGATCTGAATTTGTGTTCCACTTCTTGCTGTCTGTGTGTACCTTTGGTTAATGTTTACTCGTCTTCTCTTTATTTTATATCACTACATGTTTTAGCCTGATTGGCCATCATCAGTTATACAAGCTGTTGTGACGAAGGAATCTGATGTTCTGCTTTTCTTATGTAATTGCCTCTGATTATTGTGTTATGTGGGATATCATGCTGTTGCCTTGCATGTGTTTGGTTTATTGTTTTGTTGGTTGATTTTTCTTTGGTTCAGTGTGTGTGGCTGTCCTGAATGTTTTGTAGGAGTGTAAGCTTGCTGCTTGGTGATTGGCCATCATGGTCATTTGTGGTAGGTGTTTCTGTTCTCAGAACTTTGTATTTACTACTACATTTGAATCTGTTAATCTTATTCTGGAACCTTCCCCAAAACGTTTTAACCTGCAAATTTTCTTCAGAAACTGAATTTTGATTTTAATCTTCATTCTTCAACGGTTAAAAGTTGGCACTAAACTTTGCCGACAAGTGGCGGTCTCTCAGTCGGTATAGTTCGCTTGTGGACTAAAATCATGGAGTTTTTTTTTTTGTTGAAACAGTGTGATAATGAATATATGTGCTACCAAGAACTAGTGAACATACAAGTTATGTAATATGTAAGGTAAGGCTGAATGAACATTCCATGCTCCTTGCATCAAAGGTGTCAGAAATCATTTCATTTTGTTCTTTTGACAGTGACTGTTCTGAAACATTCTTAGTTCTTTGCTGTTTTAGGTGTAATCACTGAATCTTCTTTGAATTTATATCTTCATGTAGTTAAATTCTTCACCATCATCTTCTGCTGTAAGGTAAATCTTGTCTCCATTTTAAGTGTAGAAGAGGGAAGCAGGTGGATTCTTTGAAACATTGATAACCACCTATACAACTTCAAGGTGTAACAACCTATAGGACCAGAATATTAATTTTCACTGCCATGGCACTGCATATCTTAAATTTCATGAGGTTTAATTAATGTTCATGAACAAAATATTTTTCACTCAGCTGTCCTCAATCTTTATGACTAGTAAGCCTTTCCATGATTTTGTTTACAGTAACCAAATAGTTTCATCTATTTGAAGATGAATAATGAAGTGAAAGTCTTTGTATTATTCCTGATCAAGTCTCAGATTAAGCACTGCAGACTGCATATTCCACTCAAATGGATGTTACACTTGTTGGTTGTCTTCCTGGATTGTAGCAGTGTGTAGTTTTGAATGAACCTAACATTTTGCAGAAATATGTAACCTCCATCTTTAAATATTTAATGTCAAAATGTGTGCGAAGAAGAAAGCTAGCAGAAGCAGGCTTCAGGCTTGGCATGTTTGCATGCTAGGCAGACCCATTGACCCTGAAGAGGGAGAAGACATATACCTCTGAAACAGCAGGCTATCTCCGATCTACGTGGTGTTACAACCCAGTATACTGTAGTTTTCAGTCACTGCCGTGAGGATCATGAATTCCATAAGGGCGAGGGCACATTAAGGAAACTGGCAACCGCAACAGAACCACAATTTCCGAGAATTGTTATCAGCCTGAGTTGACCACATGTTACTGAATGGAGGAGCGCAAATTGAGAGAACGGTTGCAGATGCCAGTTTCGTTGCTGTGCCCATGCCGTAAGAGTTTTCCAAGGCAGAAGCTGACAATATAGCTTGCAGCCTTTTTCTGGTGGTTTCTTGCTTGGCTTATCCTTGGGCCTTAAAGACGGGAGCGGTATGGACCTCCATTACTTTTGGCTCTGGCAAAACTACACGGCATTACAAACCAGTAGACTCTACCGGACTCTACTCCTCATAGCCTTCAGTCACCACCGGCAGAACCGCAAATCCAAAACAGCAGTTTCGCTAGTTTCCGACCAACCAAGCAACCGATGTCGATCACAATATTTTTCTACGTTTTCTAAAAGATGGCAGAACGATAGAAATTCGTGGAGAGGATTGATCGGCGCAGAATAAGAAGATGGCTGTTGGAATATGAACCGTTCGTGGAAATTAAAATTCGAAGGGAGTACGATATTCTGCCGAAATTAATCTGTTATTGTCCACCAGAATTTAAGTTTTAGATGGGTTAACGTTATTTTACATTTGATTTGTAATCAACATGGCGACAAGAGCTGCAACATGTAAGTTCAAAGGCAGAAAACTGTGTTGAGAAAAGCGTCTTGAGAAATGAGTTATTGCTAATTTGGTTCCCGTACGAAGCTTTGCATGTGTGAAATTTCAAGATTTCTTTCTGAACCATGTACAGTTGTCCGGTTTCTTGTCGGTTCCTACGTCCCGTAGTAGAGGACAGGGGAGTATGGATATGAACGAAGTATGTACGTCCGAAACGTCGGAAACCATTTTTATTACTGCGAGGCCACAGAACTCAGAAAAGAAACGGGGAAAGGCCCAATATGTAATTAGGATTTCGAAATCTTGAGGAGATTGGACAAAAATAAATATCACTTATTACATATTAGATATAAAATACATGTAAAATAAACAGTTGAGGATTATCTTCTGGGATGTGATGACGTGTAGTCTGGCCTAAGTTTACCGGCGTTTCGGAGAAAAGCACTGTCTCCATATTCAGGATTGAAAAATAAGCAGAGAAAATAACAAGGAAACAGCAAGCTTGAAGTGAGATAATGTTTCCTGTGGTGCCCCTGTATAAAAGTTGCACTTTGATCATCTTATAGTATACTCCATTGCCCATTTACTTGAGGTACAGCATCAGATTTTAAAATAATTAATTTTTGTGACCATGCTACAAGCTGGAAGGTTGGGGGTTCATTTCCTGATGGGATTCATGAATTTTTCAATTGACCTTACTGTTCAGCCACATTATCTCACTGCCATCTGTGAGCTGATTGTCTAGAAAATGTTGGAGCCTCGAAATCTAACAACTTAATGGGCGTCCACAGCCTGTTACAGGGATAGCTTTAATTGTTTCCTTTACAACAGAAGTTACATGTCTTTGCCCAATCATATGTGAAATTTTTACAGTTTTTTTTTAGTATTCCTCACTTTGCAGAAAGAAAGGAAGCTTTGCCAGTTTTGCAGTATGCAGTATTGTAAAATAATCAAGCCTCTTTTTCTTATAATTTTTATTAGGTAATTTTAAAAATTGAATTTATTTTCACCTAAATATTAGGGAACGAGAGCAACAAATAGAAATGAGGTTTGTGATGAAGTTAGAGGAAAATCAATAAATTCTAGAGGTGTTTGTTATTGAACTAGAAACTATTGCATGTCATCTATTTATTCTTCCAGTCATTTTGTATGATCTCTTACTGACTTGTTCCACATCCTACACTCATTCTGACTTACTTTGGATCTGTGGAATGTAATGTATGTATTTATGTGAGCATGGAACATGACTGGCAAGAGTTAGGAAACAAAGTAGTAAGAAAATATTTGAATGTCAGAAGGATGAAGTAAGTGAGAAATTTAAGACGCTGTGTAATGACACGAAGGGTTATACAGATCATGTGGCAACATGTGGCTAGAATGTGGGAGGCACAAAATGCATACTGAATTTTGGTGAGGAAAATTTTTGGAAAGCGGCTAGTAGGAAGACCATTCATTCATTCATCTGTAATCTGTCAAGACGACAGGTTCACAGTCTCTTCCAAAACAGTTCCTCCACTTGATGCGATCTAGAGCTTTCTCTTTCAAATGAAAATATCCTCTTCTGTCCACAAGGTCATCCAGCATCTTCTTATGTCTTCTTCCTCGTCTTCTGGTCACTTCTATCCGCCCCTCTATGTTTCCTTCAATAACTTCTTTTAGAAGGCAGTTACCGCGTCAGATATGACCAATCCAATTAGCCTTCCGTTTTCTTATTTCGTGAGGAAGACTAATGGGAGAAAAATATTAATCTGGATCTTAGAGAAATAGAGATCTCTGTCATTTGGGATGTAATGCTGTGTAGTTCAGTGAAAGTCAACTTATGTTTTGGAAGAACATATCACCTCCATCTTCAGGGTTGAAAAATCCTGCATTAAGCAGGCATCAAGCAGTTCTTGCTCAGCTTTCTCTTCATCTTTGAAGATGGAGGTAGTATGTTGCCCCATAATATCAGTTAACTTTCATTGGAGGACATGACATCATATAACAGAAGACAGAACACTTTATAACCACCCCTGCGACATTCTTGCATCCCACTTAGGAAAATAAATTTTGAAGGTCACAGATGGAACTGGCTCACCATCATGTCCAGTGGCAGGGTTTGATGTTAGCAGTACTGATCATTCAGTGACTGGCACCAGAGAGTTAATTACTTATAGCTGTTAGACTTGAAATAACAGTAGTACCAAGCTGGAAGGTGAAGAAAAGTATCATTTTGAGATCCCAAAACAGCTTCCCAGCTTCAGCAAGTTCAGATGGTGATGTGGACAACAATATCGCTTGGGTAAGCGTTCAAGAAAATATCAGAATTTCAGCTAAAGAGACTCTAGGTTCTTGATTGATTGACTGATTGATTGATTTATTTATTTAACATCCATAACTGTTACATTATGTACAATTGGACAAGTCAGTTAAAAAAAAATATATATATATGAGATTAAACATCACATCACATGACTAATAATATAAAAAACCATAGAAGAATAACATAATAAATCCTTTAAATATGATAAAACAGTGGATGAGTATAATAAGGCAACAAAAGCTAAACTATAAATTACATGCAATAGCTAAAATAAATTACCTAAGTATCTTTGTTCTAGTATTAAGCTAATTCTTATAAAAATATTCTTGAAGGGAATAAAAAGCTTTGCACAACAAGTAATCCTTTAATTGACGCTTAAAAACCTTGAACTCTTGAATACTTCTTATTTGAGAGGGCAAGTTATTATACAATCTTATTCCCATGTTAATCACACTCCT